AGCTGGCTTCGGCAGGTTTCATGGCGGAGGTGGTGGTCATGGCTTCCACAGGGGACACGGCCATGGAGTTGGAAGAGCTCATGGCCAAGCCTTTGCCAGAGGTCACAGTCGTGGCTTCGGTGCTCGCCATGGCCAAGGCATCTACGGTTAATGAAAAGGACACCAGATATCTAACATTCAACTCACTTGTATACCAGAGGAGATACTGTGGATTGTCATAGTATAGGGTGGAATCCATCTCTTCTTTCCCAAAATAAAAAGAAAAATTCGTTCGTCTTTCAGGATTACATTATTTCTCCTTTCTTACCCTTGTAACATATATTTATGCATATATATATACGTATGCATACAAACATATGTGTTTGTATACTTATAAATACATACATATATATATAGAAATATGCATGCAGACAACCGCACGTGCGTCTATATATACACATACATATGTATATATATACATATTTGTTTGTTTTTTACCACATATACATATAAGTATATATATATATGTATACATACATATATATATATATATATATATATATATATATATACATTGTGGTAGAAAAATACACAATGCAAAAACGAGATTTCTTGAAAGTGAGACTACAGTTTCGAAATCCACCTGGATTCCAGTGTTCTGCCATTCATGTATATACAGTATATGCATATCTACATATGCAAAATATATAAACATAGATATATATGTTTATATGTGTACATATATATATTCAGTATATATATGTGTGTTTACTATATATACTGTATATATGTATTAAAATTATCTGTTCTATATATACACATAGACATATATTCAGTATATATATATGAATTTCTACTACTTGTGCTATACAGTATATCCATAGTATATATATGTATATGTATATGCATATATACTATCTGTATATGTTAAGCATATGCACGCACACACACGTGTGTGTATGTATGTATATGTATATGTATATATTACACACGCAACGTGTGTGTATATATACATGTGCATTACACACTCAATGTGTGTATATATGGATGTGTGTGTGGCGTGACGATGGCAGGGCGATTACACCAAGCAGTTTTCCCCCAAAGACTGCAAAATGCTATCAGTCGGCGTATTTTTTTTTTCTTTTTTTCTGAAAATAACGAATCGTTTAGTAGCTGGTTTGTCTCGAATAAGAATAATCGTTTATGAATTTTGTCTTTCCCACTGAATTAGTAAAGTAATAATAATACTACTGCTCAATTCTGAATATTTAAACACAACCCCCGCACCTTATAATTAAAAAGATGGAATGTGTTAAAACTACTTCATGGAATCGTTCAATATAAGTGAACAGTTTTGCCCTATAACACAAATTAGCTTTCGTTATGAGCGCACCTCTTCCGTATAAAGTTCGTTATTAATCACACTTTCAAGGCCCTTCTTGTTTCTCTCTGTGTCTCCCACTTTCTCCTCACTTTCTCACACTGTTTCCTTCTGTCTTTCCCTTTGTATTTCACTCCCTCCCTCATCCTTATAACAGAAAAAAAAATTCGCTGCACAAGACAACTTTGCAAAAAGAGTTGTTTATTCCGTCTAATTTTGCAGTTTTTGAGGATTTGAACGGTTTCCCATTAGTGAGGCATGAAAACAGGTCATTTAAAGCCAGATTGAAGGTGAGGTTGAAGAGATAATAGGCTTAAAAAAAAGAAATCGTGAATTTTCTATAATTGTTTAAGTAGTTATTTGATATACTTATAGCTGTACTTTTATGTTCTTCATATAAAGGGTTTTGTGTGTGTGTGTGTACAGTTTATATATGTTCATGGACCTTAATTTCTACATACATATGTGTGTGTGTGTGTGTGTGTGTGTGTGTGTGTGTGTGTGTGTGTGTGTGCAAGTTTATATAAACATTCATGCGTTCATATATATACCAAATGTATATCATATGAATATATATTCACTCTCTCCTCCCTATATATATATATTTTGTCTATAGATATGCGTGTAAGCATAAAGATAGATACTGATGTATAAAACGCACGCACGCATACATATAGCCTCCGGGCTAGTACAATGGTAACGTGTCGGCCTCTCATCCGAGGGGTCGGCGGTTCGCGCCCCGCCCAGGCGCGAGAAGTTGCAATTGTCGCCTGGAGGTCACTGCTGTGGCTGGGCACCACGGTGGGTAAGGACTAAGCTCACCCGAGTCAGCACCTGCTGACACACTGTTAACGAGTCGACATTAGTCGGCACAGGCCGGGCTCCCCCATAGCCCGGGCGAGGCTCAGCTTCGCATATCGGACTTATCCTTTATCGCATACATATGTATGTGTATATATACACGTGTATTTATATTCTATATAAATACACGTGTGTATGTGTCTCCGCGAGAGTGTATGAGTATACAACATTTTGAAGTAAAGTTAAGAAATCTGTTTATTGATCTTTCATATAACAAGACAGCGTCCTTCGAAAAGGCTCTTTCGAGGTTAAGTGACTCGAAGTGACTCATTCTGTCACGTATAAAAGCTTCGAATCCAAAAGTATCTGAGCACATTCCATCCGGCTTCTTTGCGACGCTCATACATCCTCACCATGAAGCTCGTAAGTGACAATTCTTAGCCCTGTACAAAAAAAAAATGTATTTATTAGGGAAATATGTTTCACTGCGAGGTATCAAACATACGTATTTGTTTTTCTGTAAATACAAGTTGTTATTCAGCTTTTCTTTTGCGTTTGATTTTCAGATTTTGTTTTATATTTTTTATAGTCTTCCTTACCATAATAATAATAATAAATTAACTGCTATAGCTTTCTTTTTTCTTTTGGTTATAAATATGCAAATAAATAATGTATCGAATTATGATTATTTCAAATATCTAATAAAATATATCGAAACGATCCCTTCCTTACAGCTGTCACTGTTTCTGGTCGTGATGGTGACCCTGTCTGGCCTGATCGGCTGGGCCAGCGCTATGCCTGACCCCGATCCAGAGGCTAACCCAGCTGGCTTTGGCAGGTTACATGGCAGAGGCAGTGGTCATGGCTTCCACAGGGGACACGGCCATGGAGTTGGAAGAGCTCATGGCCAAGCCTTTGCCAGAGGTCGCAGTCGTGGCTTCGGTGCTCATGGCCAAGGCATTTACGGATAATGAAAAGGACACCAGATATCTACCATTGCAATCAACCCGCATGTATACTAGAATAGATACATTGGATTGTTATACTGTACCGTGGTGGAATTCACCTCTTTGTTCCAGAAATAAATTACATAAACAAAAATCTGTTGATCTTTCATGTCTCTCAAATTCAAGACTATATTCACTCTTTTCCTTCCTTTATTTATAAACATACATATATGTATGTATATGCATGTTTCTATTTATTTATACATCTATATGTACATAAGTATACACACACAGAACTTGAACTTATAACTTTTAGCTTTGGTTTGAACTTCGAGGCCTGCTTGCGACATTCAACCTTCGAGAGACATTTTCTATTACGTTAAATATGCAGATAAATATACATGTATTATGTATATATGTATATATGCATAAAAAAACATGCATTTATCCATACATGTATACGCATATATATTTGCATTGTGGATATATGAATGTTTATACATATGATTATCTTTGTGAGTTTGTTTTTTTTTTTTGTTTGTTTGTTTGTTTTGTATTAGTACACACACACATATATATATGCATTTATATATGTATATATACAAACATGTGAAATATGTACATACCATACATGTATAGTTTGTTTTGTATTAGTACACACACACATATATATATGCATTTATATATGTATATATACAAACATGTGAAATATGTACATACCCATACATGTATATACATAAATATCTATATATACAGTATGTATACAGTATACTATGTATAAACTTTTTATTTATAAATATATCTTTATATAAGACTATGTATCCAAATTTATATATACACATATATATGTTATACACACATGCAAATATTTATATGCAGGCATGTTTTTGCATCTGGCGTAACATGGGGAAGGCGATCACACCAAGCGGGATTTCCAGAAGGCCAGCAAATTGCGCTCAGTTCTTTTCTTTTTTTTAATAAAATCGACTAAGAGTTTACTCGACTATTACTTAAAACGATTAAATTTTAATAAATTCAAGATTTATTTTTTTATCTAATCTGACATTAATCCAGATAATCTACAACATAGATTTCAGATTTTTGTTCACTTATGGAACCATAAGCGCAAAGAAAAAGAAAAATCTAAAGAATTACTCACGGAATGAAAATTGGTGAATTTTTTTCCTCATATAAGAAATTAACTTCCAAGACAATGTTCTTGTTCTATTGAATCTAACTTCCGTCCTTTTTGGGTTCTCTGTTTCAAATGAAGTTTCCCATTGCTGATGCACGAAAAGTAGTTCATTAAAACCAAGCTAGAGAAAGAGGCAAACATTTGGACGCGAAGTTGCAGAGCCAATAATTAGAGAAAAAATATGATTATAGCATCAGAGTTATAGCTGTACTTTTTAGGTTTCTTTTTCGTTTTCTTTTTTATGTCCTGCCAGAGTGACAAAAGGTGTTGATACGTTCCTAATTGTTGTATGTGTCTCTGTACAGTTTGTATATATTTATGTGCATATGTGTTTGCGTGCGTACGTCTTTGCATGGTTATACACATACATCCACACACACACAAACACATATCTGCACATACGTTTATAGCTTTTGATATGCGTATGTGTATCTAAATATGCATCTATACGCAAATATATAGATATATACACAAATAGACGCATATACATACCACACACATTTGTGTGTAAATGTATACATACATGAGTGTGCGAGTGCGTGAATATATACGCATATTGATAATTTTGAGAAATCTGTTGAACAAGCTTTCCTGTGAAGGACAGCGCCCTTCGAAAAGGATCTTTTGTGGTTTCAGGAACACAAAGTGACTCATTCTGTCACCTATATAAGCTTCGAAACTGTCAGGATCTGAGCACATTCCATCCGGCTTCTTTGCGACGCTCAGACATTCTCACCATGAAGCTCGTAAGTGACAATTTTTACCTGTACAAAATCAGTGTACGTAATTGGAAAAATGTCTAAAATATGTATTTGGTATTTTAAAAAATTAAGCTGGTGTTCAACTTTTATTTCACATTTAATTTTTTCCTTAGTTTTTACCTTCTCTTATCAAGAAAACTTTTCTTTGACAAACTATTTTTTCTAACGATCCCTTCTTTATAGCTGTCACTGTTTCTGGTCGTGATGGTGACCCTGTCTGGCCTGATCAACTGGACCATTGCCATGCCTGACCCCGACCCAGAAGCTAACCCAGCTGGTTTCGGCAGGTTTCATGGCGGAGGTGGTGGTCATGGCTTCCACAGGGGGCACGGCCATGGAGTTGGAAGGGTTCATGGCCAAGGCTTTGCCAGGGCTCACAGTCGTGGCTTCGGTGCTCGCCATGGTCAAGGCATTTATGGATAATGAAAAGGTCACCAGATATCTACCATTGCAATCAACCCGCTTGTATATCAGAAGAGATGCAGTGGATTGCCATAGTTTAAGGTGGAATCAAAATAAATTGCAAAATCAAAATTCGTACGTCTTTCAAACTCAGGATTACATTATTTCTCCTTTCTTGCCCTTGCAATATATATATATATATATATATATATATGTATATATATATACGTATGCATACAAACATGTGTGTTTGTATACCTATATATATACATACATACACATATGTATATATATAAATATGCATGCAGACAACCGCACGTACGTTTATTAGTATATATACACATACATATGTATATGTATACATGTTTGTGTTTTTGCCACATATATGTATACACTGTATATACATATATATGTATATACAGAAGAGATGCATATACATATATATGTATATACAGTGGTAGAAAAATCCACGATGCAAAAACGAGATTTCTTGAAAGTGAGACTACAGTTTCGAAATCCACCTGGATTCCAGTGTTCTGCCATTCATGTATATACAGTATATACATATCTACATATGCAAAATATATAAACAGATATATGTTTATATATATATATATATATATATATATTCAGTATATATATGTGTGTTTACTATACATATTGTATACATGTATTAAAATATCTGTACTATATATACACATATAGACATATTCAGTATATATATGAATTTCTACTACTTTTACACATGTGCCTTACAGTATATTCATAGGTGTATTGATACAGTATATATATATGTATATGTATATGCATATATACTATCTGTATATGTTAAACATATGCACGTACACACATGTGTGTGCATGTATGTATATGTATATGTATATATTACACACGCAATGTGTATATGTATGTGTGTGTGGCGTGACGATGGCAGGGCGATTACACCAAGCAGTTTTCCCCAAAGACTGCAAAATGCTATTAGTCGGCGTATTTTTTTTTTTTTCTGAAATTAATGAATCGTTTCGTAGCTGATTTGTCTCGAATAAGAATAATCGCTTATAATTTTTGTCTTTTCCTACTGAATTAGTAAAATAATAATATTGCTCAATTCTGAATATATAAACACAACCCCCGCACCCTATAATTTAAAAGATGGAATGTGTTAAAACTACTTCAATGAGTCGTGCAATATAGGTGAACATTTTGAATTATAACACAAATTTGTTTTCCTTATGAGCGCACCTCTTCCAAACAACGTTCGTTATTAATCGCACTTCCAAGGCCCTTCTTGTTTCTCTCTCAATATCTCCCACTTTCTCCTCACTTTCTCACACTGTTTCCCTTTCATTCTTTTCCTTTGTATTTCACTCCCTGCACATGACAACTTTGCGAACAGAGCTGTTTATTCCATCTAGTCCACATTTGTCTATCGCGATGTCCGAGGCAAGTTTTGAACGGTTTCCCATTAGAGAAGCATGAAAACAGGTCAGTTAAATCTAGGTTAATGGAAAGGCGAGCATTTCGATTGAAGGGGAGGTTGAAGAGACAATAGGCTTAGAAAAAAGAATTCGCGATTTTTTTTATAATTGTTTAGGTAGTCATTAGATATATTTATAGCTGTGTGTATGTGTGTACAGTTTATATATGTTGATGGGCCTTAGTTTCTACATGTGTGTGTGTGCATGATTATATAAGCATTCATGCGTTCATACGTATATATATACCAAACGTATATATATACGTGTCCATACATTTTTTTTTTTTTTTTTTGTCAATAAATATGCGTGTAAGCATAAAGATAGATACTGATGTATATACACGCATAATCATACACATATACGCACACACGCATAGATATGTATGTGTATAGATACATATACAAACTTCCATATTTATACACGTGTGTATGTGAGTCTGCGCGAGAGTGTATGAGTATACGCCTATGTTGAAGTAAAGTTAAGAAATCTGTTCATTAATCTTTCATGTGGCAAGACAGTGTCCTTCGAAAAGGCTCTTTCGAGGTTTAAGTGACTCGAAGTGACTCATTCTGTCACGTATAAAAGCTTCGAATCCAAAAGTATCTGAGCACATTCCATCCGGCTTCCTTGCGACGCTCATACATCCTCACCATGAAGCTCGTAAGTGACAATTCTTACCCTTGTACAAAAAAAAACAATGTATTCATTAGGAAAATATGTTTCACTGCGAGGTATCAAACATACGTATTTGTTTTTCTGTAAATACAAGTTGTTATTCAGCTTTTCTTTTGCGTTTGATTTTCAGATTTTTTAAAATAGTTTTTTTATAGTCTTCCTTACCATAATAATAATGATAATGAATTAACTGCTATAGAATTCTTTTTTTCTTTTGGTCATAAATATGCAAATAAGTAATGTAACGAATTATGATTATTTCAAATATCTAATAAAATATATCGAAATGATCCCTTCCTTACAGCTGTCACTGTTTCTGGTCGTGATGGTGACCCTGTCTGGCCTGATCGGCTGGGCCAGCGCTATGCCTGACCCCGACCCAGAGGCTGACCCAGCTGGCTTCGGCAGGTTTCATGGCGGAGGTGGTGGTCATGGCTTCCACAGGGGGCACGGTCATGGAGTTGGAAGGGTTCATGGCCAAGGCTTTGCAAGGGCACACAGTCGTGGCTTCGGTGCTCGCCATGGTCAAGGCATTTACGGATAATGAAAAGGACGCCACATATCTACCACTGCAATCAACTCACATATATATCAGAAGAGATGCATTAGATTGTTATACTATACTGTGGTAGAATTCACCTATTTGTTCCAGAAATAAATTGCATAATCAAAAATCTGTTGATCTTTCATGTCTTTCAAACTTAAGACTATATTCACTTTTTTCCCCTATCTATATACATATATATGTATGTATATGTATTTTCTATTTGTACATCTATATGTTCATAAGTATACATACACAGAACTTAAAACCTTTAGCTTTAGTTTGAACCTCGAGGCCTGCCTGCGTCATTCACCCTTTAATTACGGCTTTGAGAGACATTTTCTATTGTGGTAAATATTAATAAATATACATATATGTATATATGCATAAAATACATGTTTCTATCAATACCTATATACGCATTTATATTTGCATATTGTATATATGAATATGTTTATATATATGATTATATTTATGTGCATTTTTGTGAATTAGTACACACACACATATGTGTATATACACACATGTATATATACATACACACACATCTGAAATATGTACATACCTATACATGTATATACATACACATCAATATATGCAGTATATATCCAGTGCACTGTGTATAAACAATGTTTTTTATATAAATATACTTTATATAAGTCTATGTATCCAAATTATACATACACACATATATGTTATACACACATACAGATATTTATATGCATGCTCTTGTAACCGGCGTAACATGGGCAGGGCAATCACATCAAGCGGTATTTCCAGAAGGCCGGCAAATTGCGCTCAGCTCAGTGCAGTATTTTTTTTTCTTTTCTTTTCTTTTTTCTATCCTCCACTTTTTTCAATAAAAACGACTAAGAGCTTATTCGACTACTTAGATTTATATCTCTTAACTTTCTGAATCAGTTCAAAAACGAATACATTTCAAAATTATTATTTTATCTGACATTAAGATACTCTACAAGGCATATTTTTGCTCTCTTACGGAGACATAGAGAAACTGGAAAATCTTAAAACTTATGAAATCGTTTCATGAAAATTGGTGAAATTTTTTCCTCATATAAGAAATTAACTTCGAAGACAACGTTCTTGTTCTATTAAATCTAACTTCCGTCCTTGTTGGGTTCTCTGTTTCAAATGAAGTTTCCCATTGCTGATGCACGAAAAGTAGTTCATTAAAACCAAGCTAGAGAAAGAGGCGAACATTTGGACGCGAAGTTGCAATATTCAGAGAAAAAATATGATTATAGCTGTACTCTTTAGATTTCTTTTTTTTCGTTCTTTTTTACATGTCCTGCTAGAGTGACAAAAGGTGTTGATACGTTCCTAATTGTTGTATGTGTCTTTGTACAGCTTGTGTATATATATGGGTATATATATGTGTGCATATGTGTTTGCGTGCGTACGTTTTTGCATGGTTATACACATACATCCACACACACACAAACACATATCTGCACATACGTTTATAGCTTTTGATATGCGTATGTGTATCTAAATATGCATCTATACGCAAATATAAAGATACACACACAAATATACGTATATACATACCATACACGTGTGTGTAAATATATACATACATATGAGTGTGCGAGTGCGTGAATATATACGCATATTGATATTTTTGAGAAATCTGTTAAACAAGCTTTCCTGTGAAGGGCAGTGTCCTTCGAAAAGGATCTTTTGTGGTTTCAGGAACACAAAGTGACTCATTCTGTCACCTATATAAGCTTCGAATCTGTCAGGATCTGAGCATATTCCATCCGGCTTCTTTGAGACGCTCAGACATCCTCACCATGAAGCTCGTAAGTGACAAGTTTTACCTGTGTACAAAAAAAAAAACAATGTACGTAATAGGAAAATATGTTTTACAGCAAAGTATCAAAACATACGTTTTTTTTTTGTTTTTTGTTTTTTTAATACAAGTTGCTAATCAACTTTTCTTTCCCGTTTGATTTTCAGATTTTTGTAAATAGTTTTTTTTATAGTCTTCCTTACCGTAATAATAATGATAATAATAGATTCACTGCTATAATTTCTTTTTTCTTTTGGCCATAAATATGCAAATAAATAATGTATCGAATTATGATTATTTCAAATATCTAATAAATATTTCGAAATGATCCCTTCCTTACAGCTGTCACTGTTTCTGGTCGTGATGGTGACCCTGTCTGGCCTGATCGGCTGGGCCAGCGCTATGCCTGAACCCGACCCAGAGGCTGACCCAGCTGGCTTTGGCAGGTTACATGGCAGAGGCAGTGGTCATGGCTTCCACAGGGGGCACGGTCATGGAGTTGGAAGAGCTCATGGCCAAGCCTTTGCCAGAGGTCACAGTCGTGGCTTCGGTGCTCATGGCCAAGGCATTTACGGATAATGAAAAGGACGCCACATATCTACCACTGCAATCAACCCACATATAACCTAGAATAGATACATTGGATTGTTATACTGTACCGTGGTGGAATTCACCTCTTTGTTCCAGAAATAAATTACATAGACAAAAATCTGTTCACCTTTCATGTCTTTCAAACTCAAGACTATATTCACTTGAACTTATAGCCTTTAGCTTCGGTTTGAACCTCGAAGCCTTCCTGCATCATTCAACCTTTAACTACTGCTTCGAGAGACATTTTCTTTTACGTAAGATATACAGATGAATACATATATTATGTATATATCCATACATATATATAGGCATATATATCTGCATAGTGTATATATGAATATGTTTATACATATGATTATCTTTGTGTGCTTTTTTGTGTATTAGTACACGCATATAAATATATATATGTGTGTGTGTATACATATATAAACACATTTGAAATGTACATACCCATACATGTTTATACATACACACCTATATATACAGTATATATTCAGTATACTCTGTATAAACAAGAAGAATTTTTTAAATTTGTGTCTATGTATCCAAATGTATGCAAACACATATACGTTATACACATACAAATATTTATGTGCATGCATGTCTTTGTATCTGGTGTAACATGGGGAGGGCGATCACATCAAGCGGTATTTCCAGAAGACCGGCAAATTGCGCTCAGTTCAGCGCATTTTTTTCGGCTAAGAGCTTATTCGACTATTTATATTTATATCTCTTAACTTTCTGAATCAGTCCAAAATTTAATAAATTCAAAATCTAATTTATTATCTAATCTGACATTAATCCAGATAATCTACTGCATAGATTTCAGATTTTTTTCACTTATGGAAACATAAGCGCAAAGAAAAAGAAAAATCTAAAGAATTACTCACGGAATGAAAATTGGTGATTTTTTTTCCTCATATAAGAAATTAACTTCCAAGACAATGTTCTTGTTCTATTAAATCTAACTTCCGTCCTTTTTGGGTTCTTTGTTTCGAATGAAGTTTCCCATTGCTGATGCACGAAAAGTAGTTCATTAAAACCAGGCTAGAGAAAGAGGCGAACATTTGGACGCGAAGTTGCAGAGCCAATAATCAGAGAAAAAATATGATTATAGCATTAGAGTTATAGCTGTACTTTTTAGGTTTCGTTTTCGTTTTCTTTTATATGTCCTGCCAGAGTGACAAAAGGTGTTGATACGTTCCTAATTGTTGTATGTGTCTCTGTACAGTTTGTATATATTTATGTGCATATGTGTTTGCGTGCGTATGTGTTTGCATGTTTATACACATACGTCCACACACACACAAGCACATATATAACTGTACATACGTTTATAGCTATTGATATGCGTATGTGTATCTAAATATGCATCTATATGCATATATATATATAGATATATGCATAAATATACACATAAACATACCACACACACATGTGTGTATATATGCACATACATATGAGTGTGCGAGTACGTGAGTATATACGCATATTGATAATGAAAAAGTTTTCCTGTAAAGGACAGCGTCCTTCGAAAAGGCTCGTTTGTGGTTTCAGGAACACAAAGTGACTCATTCTGTCACCTATATAAGCTTCGAATCTGTCAGGATCTGAGCATATTCCATCCGGCTTCTTTGCGACGCTCAGACATTCTCACCATGAAGCTCGTAAGTTACAATTTTTACTTGTGTACGTAATTGGAAAATGTGCACTCCTAAATGTCTAAAATATGTATTTGGTATTTTAAAAAATTAAGCTGTTGTTCAACTTTTATTTCACATTTAATTTTTTCCTTAGTTTTTACCTTCTCTTATCAAGAAAACTTCTTTGACAAACTATTTTTTCTAACGATCCCTTCTTTATAGCTGTCACTGTTTCTGGCCGTGATGGTGACCCTGTCTGGCCTGATCAACTGGACCATTGCCATGCCCGACCCCGACCCAGAAGCTAACCCAGCTGGCTTCGGCAGGTTTCATGGCGGAGGTGGTGGTCATGGCTTCCACAGGGGGCACGGCCATGGAGTTGGAAGGGTTCATGGTCAAGGCTTTGCAAGGGGTCACAGTCGTGGCTTCGGTGCTCGCCATGGCCAAGGCATCTACGGATAATGAAAAGGACACCAGATATCTACCATTGCAATCAACCCGCTTGTATACCAGAAGAGATGCAGTGGATTGCCATAGTATAAGGTGGAATCAAAATAAATTGCAAAATCAAAATTCGTACGTCTTTCAAACTCAGGATTACATTATTTCTCCTTTCTTGCTCTTGTAACACACAATATATATACGTATGCATACAGACATGTGTGTTTGTATACCTATATATATATACATACATATATATATATATAAATATACATGCAGACAACCGCACGTACGTTTATAAGTATATATACACATACATATGTATATGTATACATGTTTGTGTTTTTGCCACATATATGTATATACATATATATGTACATACAGTGGTAGAAAAATCCACGATGCAAAAACGATATTTCTTGAAAGTGAGACAAGTTTCGAAATCCACCTGGATTCCAGTGTTCTGCCATTCATGTATATACAGTATATACATATCTACATATGCAAAATATATAAACATAGATATATGTTTATATATATATTCAGTATATATATGTGTGCTTACTATACCTACTGTATATATGTATTAAATTATCTGTACTATATATACACATGTAGACATATTCAGTATATATATAAATTTCTACTACTTGTACACATGTGCCTTACAGGTGTATTGATACAGTATATATATATGTATATGTATATGCATATATACTATCTGTATATGTTAAACATATGCACGTACACACATATGTGTGCATGTATGTATATGTATATGTATATATTACACACGCAATGTGTGTATATATACATATATGCATTACACACTCAATGTGTGTATATATGTATGTGTGTGTGGCGTGACGATGGTAGGGCGATTACACCAAGCAGTTTTCCCAAAAGACTGCAAAATGCTATCATTTGGCGTTTTTTTTTTTTTCTGAAAATAATTAATCGTTCAGTAGCTGATTTGTCTCAAATAAGAATAATCGCTTATAATTTTTGTCTTTTCCTACTGAATTAGCAAAATAATAATATTGCTCAATTCTGAATATATAAACACAACCCCCGCACCCTATAATCAAAAAGATGGAATGTGTTAAAACTACTTCAATGAGTCGTGCAATATAGGTGAACATTTTGAATTATAACACAAATTTGTTTTCCTTATGAGCGCACCTCTTCCAAACAACGTTCGTTATTAATCGCACTTCCAAGGCCCTTCTTGTTTCTCTCTCAATGTCTCCCACTTTCTCCTCACTTTCTCACACTGTTTCCCTTTCATTCTTTTCCTTTGTATTTCACTCCCTGCACATGACAACTTTGCGAAAAGAGCTGTTTATTCCATCTAGTCCACATTTGTCTATCGCGATGTCCGAGGCAAGTTTTGAACGGTTTCCCATTGGAGAAGCATGAAAACAGGTCAGTTAAAGCTAGGTTAATGGAAAGGCGAGCATTTCGATTGAAGGGGAGGTTGAAGAGACAATAGGCTTAGGAAAAAGAAATCGCGAATTTTCTATAATTGTTTAAGTAGTCATTAGATATATTTATAGCTGCACTTTTATTTTCTACGTACAAAGGGTTTTGTGTGTGTGTGTGTGTGCGTGTATTTACAGTTTATATATGTTGATGGGCCTTAGTTTCTACATATGTGTGTGTGTGTGCATGTTTATATAAACATCCATGCGTTCATACGTATATATATACCAAACGTATATATATACGTGTCTATATATATAATTTTTTTGTCTATAGATATACGTGTAAGCAAAAAGATAGATACTGATGTATATACACGCATAATCATACACATACACATATACGCACACACGCATAGATATGTATGTGTATAGATACATATACAAACTTTTATACATTTATACACGTGTGTATATGAGTCTGCGCGAGAGTGTATGAGTATACGCCTATGTTGAAGTAAAGCTAAGAAATCTGTTCATTAATCTTTCATGTGGCAAGACAGTGTCCTTCGAAAAGGCTCTTTCGAGGTTTAAGTGACTCGAAGTGACTCATTCTGTCACGTATAAAAGCTTCGAATCCAAAAGTATCTGAGCACATTCCATCCGGCTTCCTTGCGACGCTCATACATCCTCACCATGAAGCTCGTAAGTGACAATTCTTACCCCTGTGCAAAAAAAAAAAAAAAAAATGTATTTATTAGGAAAATATGTTTCACTGCGAGGTATCAAACATACGTATTTGTTTTTCTGTAAATACAAGTTGTTATTCAGCTTTTCTTTTGCGCTTGATTTTCAGATTTTGTTTTATATTTTTTTATAGTCTCCCTTACCATAATAATAATGATAAATTAACTGCTATAGATTTCTTTTTTCTTTTGGTCATAAATATGCAAATAAATAATGTATCGAATTATGATTATTTCAAATATCTTATAAAATATATCGAAACGATCCCTTCCTTACAGCTGTCACTGTTTCTGGTCGTGATGGTGACCCTGTCTGGCCTGATCGGCTGGGCCAGCGCGATGCCTAACCCCGACCCAGAGGCTGACCCAGCTGGCTTTGGCAGGTTACATGGCAGAGGCAGTGGTCATGGCTTCCACAGGGGACACGGCCATGGAGTTGGAAGAGCTCATGGCCAAGCCTTTGCCAGAGGTCACAGTCGTGGCTTCGGTGCTCATGGCCAAGGTATTTACGGATAATGAAAAGGACACCAGATATCTACCATTGCAATCAACCCACATGTATACTAGAATAGATACATTGGATTGTTATACTGTACCGTGGTGGAATTCACCTCTTTGTTCCAGAAATAAATTACATAAACAAAAATCTGTTGATCTTTCATGTCTCTCAAATTCAAGACTATATTCACTTTTTTCCTTCCTTTATTTATAAACATACATATATGTATGTATATGCATGTTTCTATTTATTTATACATCTATATGTACATAAGTATACACACACAGAACTTGAATTATAACCTTTAGCTTTGGTTTGAACTTCGAGGCCTGCTTGCGACATTCAACCTTCGAGAGACATTTTCTATTACGTTAGATATGCAGATAAATATACATGTATTATGTATATATGTATATATGCATAAAAAAACATGCATTTATCCATACATGTATACGCATATATATTTGCATTGTGGATATATGAATGTTTATACATATGATTATCTTTGTGAGTTTTTTTTTTTTTTTTTTTTTTTTGTATTAGTACACACACATATATACATGCATTTATATATGTATATATAAAAACATGTGAAATATGTACATACCCATACATGTATATACATAAATATCTATATATACAGTATGTATACAGTATACTATGTATACATTTTTTTTTTATAAATATATCTTTGTATACGACTATGTATCCAAATTTATATATACACATATATGTTATACACACATGCAAATATTTATATGCAGGCATGTTTTTGCATCTGGCGTAACATGGGGAAGGCGATCACACCAAGCGGTATTTCCAGAAGGCCGGCAAATTGCGCTCAGTTCTTTTCTTTTTTTTAATAAAATCGACTAAGAGTTTACTCGACTATCACTTAAAACGATTAAATTCCAAAATTAATATTTTATCTTACATTAACATTAATGACATTAATCCAGATAATCCACAGCGCAGATTTTTGCTCACTTACGGAAACATAAGCGCAGAGAAAATGAAAAATCTTTAAACTTACACAGGAAGTTTTTTCATGAAAATTGGTGAAATCTTTTCCTCATATAAGAAATTAACTTCCAAGACAACGTTCTTGTTCTATTAAATCTAACTTCCGTCCTTGTTGGGTTCTCTGTTTCGAATGAAGTCGCCTATTGCTGATGCGCGAAAAGTAGTTCATTAAAACCAGGCTAGAGAAAGAGGCGAACATTTGGACGCGAAGTTGCAATAATCAGAGAAAAAAATATGATTATAGCTGTACCTTTTTTTTTCTTTTTTTTTCTTTTTTACATGTCCTGCTAGAGTGACAAAAGGTGTTGATACGTTCCTAATTGTTGTATGTGTCTTTGTATAGCTTGTGTATATATATGGGTATATATATGTGTGCATATGTGTTTGCGTGCGTACGTTTTTGCATGGTTATACACACACAAACACATATCTGCACAAACGTTTATAGCTTTTGATATGCGTATGTGTATCTAAATATGCATCTATACGCAAATATATAGATATATACACAAATAGACGCATATACATACCACACACATTTGTGTGTAAATGTATACATACATGAGTGTGCGAGTGCGTGAATATATACGCATATTGATAATTTTGAGAAATCTGTTGAACAAGCTTTCCTGTGAAGGACAGCGCCCTTCGAAAAGGATCTTTTGTGGTTTCAGGAACACAATGTGACTCATTCTGTCACCTATATAAGCTTCGAGTCTGTCAGGATCTGAGCACATTCCATCCGGCTTCTTTGCGACGCTCAGACATTCTCACCATGAAGCTCGTAAGTGACAATTTTTACCTGTACAAAATCAGTGTACGTAATTGGAAAAATGTCTAAAATATGTATTTGGTATTTTAGAAATTTAAGTTGGTGTTCAACTTTTATTTCACATTTAATTTTTCCCTTCGTTTTTACTTTCTCTTATCAAGAAAACTTTTCTTTGACAAACAATTCTTTTAACGATCCCTTCTTTATAGCTGTCACTGTTTCTGGTCGTGATGGTGACCCTGTCTGGCCTGATCAACTGGACCAGTGCCATGCCTGACCCCGACCCAGAAGCTAACCCAGCTGGCTTCGGTAGGTTTCATGGCGGAGGTGGTGGTCATGGCTTCCACAGGGGTCACGGCCATGGAGTTGGAAGGGTTCATGGCCAAGGCTTTGCCAGGGCTCACAGTCGTAGCTTCGGTGCTCGTCATGGCCAAGGCATCTACGGATAATGAAAAGGACACCAGATACTTACCACTGCAATAATTCCATATATATACCAGAAGAAATGCAGTGGATTGACATACTGTAAGATGGAATTCACCCATTCGTACCAGAAATAAATTGCATATTCAAAATCTGTTGATATTTTATGTCTTTCAAACTCAAAAGTATATTAACTTTTTTCTCTTGCCTTATTTATATATGGTTATTTATTCATGCATATTTAAATGTATGTACAAAGAGCTTGAGCTTACACCCTTTAGACTTGGTTTGAACCTCCAGGCCAGCGATCTTAAAACCTGCTTGCGTCATTCACCCTTTCTCTACTGCTTCGAGAGACTATATTTTTTATAATTTAGTTTGATTCCATTTGTTACAATGGATATTCTTGGTGTGACATACTGTCTGTTTTATTTTGCTTCTAAATTATCCCCTGTGTGCAAGGAATGGCCGGTGTTACCATCCACTGGTGGCGAGGGATTCGAACGCAGGTCAGCAAGATTGCTAGACGAGATCGCTACTGCTGCACCACACAGCACACTTTCAATTACGTTAAATATATAGATTAATATACATATGATATACATATATGTTTATATGCATAAAACATATCTGTCCATACATATATACGCATACATATATACGCATACATATATATTTGCATATTGTATATATGCATATATATAATTGTGTTTTTTGATTTGTTTTTTGTACATAAATATATGTATATTCTGATATATGTATGTATATACATATACACTCATTTATACAATATATATATATATATATATATATATATATATAGATGTGTGTGTGTATGAATATCTATACACAAACACGGGCACACACACTTTCTATATATATACATATATATACATATATATATCTGTACATGTATATGTATATAAAGACATTTATATATGCAGTATATATAAAAGTATACATATATAATATGTACAAACACATATGCATGCATGTTTTTGTGTGTACCGTAACAAGGGCAGGGCGATCACACCATGTGGTTTCTAGAAGGGTGGAAAATTGCGCTCAGTTTAGCTCATTTTTTCTTTCTTTTCTTTTCTTATTCTTAACATAGAATCGTTTAATAGCTCATTTGTCCATTTAAATGTATATCCCTTGTCTTTATGAGTCAGTCCAAAAGTAAGCCAATTAGGACCCAAATTAACACATTATATACAATGACGTTAATCCAGAAAATCTACATCGTAGATTATTACTCACTTATGGAAATGTAAGCGCCCCCCCAAAAAAAAAAAAAATCTAAAATTGTGTCACGGAATCGTTTCCATGACAACGTTTTCTTGTTTTTTATCTAATTTTCGTCAATTTTTGGTTGTCTACCAGAAGTGTGGAAAATTGCACTCGGATAAGCTTTTTCTTTCTTTCTTTCTTTTTAAGTAACTCATTTGTCCATTTAAGTTTATCTCTTTTCTATCAGTCCAAAAATAAGTAAATTAAGTCCAAAGTTGCGTAATCTTTCCCTCATAACAATTTAGCTTCCAAGACAACGCCCGCTCGAACCAGAGATCTGGCCGACTTGACGCATTTAAAACCAGCCTGTTTCCCTTTTTCTTTTTCTCACTTTCATTGACTCTCATTCTTTCTCTTTTTCCTCTGTTTCCTTTCCTCTCTCACACTTGTTACAAAAAGTTTCGGCGCACCCGAGAAATATGCGAAAAGTCCCGTCATTTTCAAACTAATACATATCTATATCTGTGTTCTTGGTAAGTTTCGAATAAAGTTTTCCCCTAATGAAGCATGAAAACTGGTTAATTAAAGCCAGGCTAGAGAAAGAGGCGCACGTTTGAACACGAAATTCCAAATCCATTGTTATAAAATCATTATTCAAATAGTTATTATTTAGCTATAGTTGTAGTTGTGCTTTTGCTTTTTCTTTGCATACCCCCAAGTTACAAAAGATATTGGTACGTTCCTGATATTCTAAATGCGTCTATGAACAGTTTGTGTATATTTACGGGTGTACATGTGCGTGCTTGTGTGTGCATGTCATTTATATGTATATATTATATGTATTTATCTGTGTTTATATCTATCACTATGTGTATGTATATATAAATATATTTACATATATATACACAAGTATATAAATGCTTGCACACATAGACATATGTGTTTATATATGTCTATATACACAGATATCTGTGTGCGAGTGTGTGAGTATATACGCTTTTTATTGTTGAAAAATATGTTGAACAAGCTTTCCTGTGACAGGACAACGTCCTTCGTAAAGGCTCTTTCGTGGTTTCAGAAACACAAAGTGACTCATTCTTTCACGTATATAAGCTTCGAATCTGTCAGGATCTGAGCATATTCTATCCGGCTTCTTTGCAACGCTCAGACACTGTCACCATGAAGCTCGTAAGTGACAATCATACCCGCGTGCTAAAACAGTAAATTAACAACATTTTTCCTCTTCAAATATATAACATATATATACACAAGTATATAAATGCTTGCACACATAGACATATGTGTTTATATATGTCTATATACACAGATATCTGTGTGCGAGTGTGTGAGTATATACGCTTTTTATTGTTGAAAAATATGTTGAACAAGCTTTCCTGTGACAGGACAACGTCCTTCGTAAAGGCTCTTTCGTGGTTTCAGAAACACAAAGTGACTCATTCTTTCACGTATATAAGCTTCGAATCTGTCAGGATCTGAGCACATTCCATCCGGCTTCTTTGCAACGCTCAGACACTGTCACCATGAAGCTCGTAAGTGACAATCATACCCGCGTGCTAAAAACAGTAAATTAAAAACATTTTACTCTTCAAAATATAAAATATGTGTTAGGTATTTTCTTAAAATATCAGTTGTTATACTTTTCTTTCACATTTAATTTACAAAATTTTCTCTTAGTTTTGATTCTCTCTCTATAAAGAAATCATCTATGCTGTATTTATATATATATATATGTATATATGTGTGTGTCTGTATATACATATTTAAATATATATATATCTAAATGAATATATATATATTAGATATGCATACAGATAAATGAAGTAACAGATTTTCATTATTCAAAATATCTAATAAAAATCCAAACAATCCATTCCCTACAGCTGTCACTGTTTCTGGTCGTGATGGTGACCCTGTCTGGCCTGATCGGCTGGGCCAGCGCTATGCCTGACCCCGACCCAGAGGCTGACCCTGCTGGCTTCGGCAGGTTTCACGGCGGAGGTAGTGGTCATGGCTTCCACAGGGGACACGGTCATGGTGATGGAAGGGTTCATGGCCAAGGCTTTGGCAGGGCTCACAGTCGTGGCTTCGGTGCTCGCCATGGCCAAGGCATCTACGGTTAATGAAAAGAACGCCAGATTTCTAACATTCAACCCACTTGTATACCAGAGGAGATGCAATGCATTACCATACTGTAAGATGGAATTCATCACTTCGGTTTAGGAATAAACTACAAAACCAAAATCCTTACCTATTTTTTTTTTTTTTTCAAATTCTTCTTTCTTGCCCTTATAACAAATAAATATATGTGTATGTATCGTAAATAACTGTTTAAATATGATATACAGTATATATGTCTTTATAACTGTAAGTATAAACATAAATACACATAAATACTGTATATATGCGTACACGTACAAATATATTTTCATATATAAACGTATAGATTTATATATATATACAGTATATATACATGCATATATACCATCTCTATATATGCATATATATATATGCTTATTTATACATATAGTGTAAAAAAAACAAAAAAAAAAACATGTATGTTTTACACATAAATTATATACGTATGTTATATATATACATTATATATATATATATATATATATATATGTGTGTGTGTGTGTGTGTATTATATACATGTGTGTATTTATGTATGTTTTATATATCCCTATTTATCCATATATATACACATACAAACATGCATGCACAGACACACACAGTATATGACTATATACATATTTTTGTATATGTATATGCACATATATACATATTTATGCATATATATGTATATATTTATACACACACCGATATATATATAAATCGCGCACGCACAAATCCACACATAAAGTGCATTATATACCCACAAACACATATGCATATAGGCATGCATGTTTGTGTGTCTGGCATAACAAAGGGCAATCACATCAAACAATCTTTACCGAAGAGCGAGAAATTGCTGTAAGCTCGGCACAGCAACTTTCTTCCTGAAAATTTGGAATCGTTTATTTCCTGATTTATCTCGTAAACAAATGATCGTTTATATTTTTATGTTTTTTCCCCACGAAATCAGTGGAGGAAAAAAGGAAATAATACCAAGACTAAAAGTTTATAACATTAATCCAGGAAATCTAATACGGTTAATTTTGCTCAATTCTGAAAATATAAGCGTAAAACCTTCCCCACAAATAACAATACAAAAAATGGAATGTGTTAAAACTACTCCGCGGAATCGTTCGATATTGGTGAAAATGTTGCCTCATAAAATAAATTAGCTGTCAAGATTATGCAGGCTTTTGCTATTTGTTTCATAAAACGTTCGGAATGAATCGCACTTTAAAATCCTTTTTTGTTTCTCTCTTTCACTCTCCCACTCTTTTCCTCTCACGTTTTCACTCTCTCACTGTTTCTTTCTCAGTCTTTTTCTGTATTTCCCCTGATCCATCGTCATTATTACAGAAAAAAAAAATTGCTGCATAAGACAAATTTGCAAAAGGAGATGTTTTTTTCCGTCTCGTCCACATCTGTCTAACACTGGCGAGGTCCGTGGCGAGTTTTGAACGAAGTTTCTCATTAATGAAGAATAAAAACGGGAGAGTTAAAGCCAGGTTAAAGAATAGAAGACTTTTCTCTGATTATTTAACTAGCAATTGTATTTGTATATATTTTTTCCTACATACAAATGGTTTTGTGCATATACCGTTTATACATGTTTACGGGCATTAGAGTACATACAGATATATATACACATGTGTGTTTGTACATGTTTATATACTCGTACATCCCTTCATATGTATATATAATACATATGTATATGTATGTGTGTGTGTCATATATGTATGTGCATGATTACCATATATGTATATAAATATATATGATTACCATATATGTATATAAATATATATGATTACCATATATGTATATAAATATATATGATTACCATATATGTATATAAATATATATGATTACCATATATGTATATAAATATATATGATTACCATATATGTATATAAATATATATGATTACCATATATGTATATAAATATATATGATTACCATATATGTATATAAATATATATGATTACCATATATGTATATAAATATATATGATTACCATATATGTATATAAATATATATGATTACCATATATGTATATAAATATATATGATTACCATATATGTATATAAATATATATGATTACCATATATGTATATAAATATATATGATTACCATATATGTATATAAATATATATGATTACCATATATGTATATAAATATATATGATTACCATATATGTATATAAATATATATGATTACCATATATGTATATAAATATATATGATTACCATATATGTATATAAATATATATGATTACCATATATGTATATAAATATATATGATTACCATATATGTATATAAATATATATGATTACCATATATGAATATCTATATGTATTCATGTATATATATTCTTATCACGATAAATATACTCATACACATACATGTATGGACACATAAATGTGTATACATAAAAATATTCACACATGTGTATATACGTTTATACGTGTGTATGCGTACATTTGAAAAGTACATTTGAAAGTAAAGCCAAGAAATCTGTTAAATAAGCTTTCATGGCAGGACAGCGTCCTTCGAAAAGGCTCTTTTGTGGTTTCAGAAACACGAAGTGACTCATTCTGTCACGTATAAAAGCTTCGAATCCATCAGGATCTCAGCACATTCCATTCGGCTTCTTTGCGACGCTCAGAGATTCTCACCATGAAGCTCGTAAGTAATAATCCTTACCCCTTTACAAAATAAAAGTAACTGAACAATATGGCACTCTTCAAAATGTCAGAAATACCTTCTCTTTAATATAAGTTATTATTCAACTTTACTTTCACATTTAATTTTCTGATTTTTTTTTATTTATATTTTAGTTTTGATAGTGCTCTCTTGATAATAATAATAACAATAACAATAATGATAACAATGATAAATTAATTGTTTCTATAGTTATTTTTGTGCCAGCACATCTATGATGCAACAAATTCTGGTTATTTCAAATATCTAATAAAAATATCAAATGATCCCTTCCTTACAGCTGTCACTGTTCCTGGTCGTGACCCTGTTTGGCCTGATCAACTGGACCAGTGCCATGCCTGACGCCGACCCAGAGGCTGACCCAGCTGGCTTCGGCAGGTTTCATGGTGGAGGTGGCGGTCATGGCTTCCATAGGGGACACGGCCATGGAGTCGGAAGGGTTCATGGCCAAGGCTTTGCAAGGGGTCACAATCGTGGCTTCGGTGCTCGTCATGGCCAAGGCATTTACGGATAATGAAAAAGACGCCAGATATATACCACTGCAATCAACCCATTTGTATGCCAGAGATGCAAATCTTTATCATACTGTAGGATGGAATTCATCTCCTTGTTCCAGAAATAAACTGCAAAATCAAAATCTTTAAGTAATTTCTTTTCCAAACTCAAATTCTAATAAATAAATAAACATATGTGTATATATGTGTATTTCTGTTTAAATATGATATACAGTATATATAGTATATATAAAGTGTATATATCTACAGTACATGTATACATATACATACACATGTGACTGAGTGTATGAGTATATAAAAATATTTCATGTGACAGAACAGCGTCCTTCGAAAAGGATCCTTCGTGGTTTCAGAAACACAAAGTAACTCATTCTGTCGCGTATATAAGCTTCGAATCCGTCAGGATCTGAGCATATTCCATTCGGCTTCTTTGCGACGCTCACCCATTCTCACCATGAAACTCGTAAGTACTCATCCTTAAACCTTTACAAAATAAAAGTAACATGAAGAATATGGCACTCTTCAAAATGTCAGAAATACCTTCTCTTTAATATAAGTTATTATTCAACTTTACTTTCACATTTAATTTTCTGATTTTTTTTTATTTATATTTTAGTTTTGATAGTGCTCTCTTGATAATAATAATAACAATAACAATAATGATAACAATGATAAATTAATTGTTTCTATAGTTATTTTTGTGCCAGCACATCTATGATGCAACAAATTCTGGTTATTTCAAATATCTAATAAAAATATCAAATGATCCCTTCCTTACAGCTGTCACTGTTCCTGGTCGTGATGGTGACCCTGTTTGGCCTGATCGGCTTGGCCAGCGCTATGCCTGACCCCGACCCAGAGGCTGACCCAGCTGGCTTCGGCAGGTTTCATGGTGGAGGTGGCGGTCATGGCTTCCATAGGGGACACGGCCATGGAGTCGGAAGGGTTCATGGCCAAGGCTTTGCAAGGGGTCACAATCGTGGCTTCGGTGCTCGTCATGGCCAAGGCATTTACGGATAATGAAAAAGACGCCAGATATATACCACTGCAATCAACCCATTTGTATGCCAGAGGAGATGCAAATCTTTATCATACTGTAGGATGGAATTCATCTCCTTGTTCCAGAAATAAACTGCAAAATCAAAATCTTTAAGTAATTTCTTTTCCAAACTCAAATTCTAATAAATAAATAAACATATGTGTATATATGTGTATTTCTGTTTAAATATGATATACAGTATATATAGTATATATAAAGTGTATATATCTACAGTACATGTATACATATACATACACATGTGACTGAGTGTATGAGTATATAAAAATATTTCATGTGACAGAACAGCGTCCTTCGAAAAGGATCCTTCGTGGTTTCAGAAACACAAAGTAACTCATTCTGTCGCGTATATAAGCTTCGAATCCGTCAGGATCTGAGCATATTCCATTCGGCTTCTTTGCGACGCTCACCCATTCTCACCATGAAGCTTGTAAGCTACACTTCTTACCCCAGTGCAAAAAAAAAAAAAAACATTGTATGCAATATATTTCATTTTCATATGTCTAAAGTATCTGGTTAAAATAGTTGCTGCTCAACTTTTCTTTCACAAATGTTTGTTAGTTTTAGCACGAAAAGTTCTGCTCATCTTTGACCAGATTTTTTTTTTTTTTAAACCTTCTATAGATTGTTTTGTTCATTCTCTTTTGAAAGTAAAAAATGTGCATACAGATAAATGAAGTAATGAATTCTTATTATTCAAAATATCTAATAAAAATATCAAATGATCCCTTCCTTACAGCTGTCACTGTTCTTGGTCGTGATGATGACCCTGTCTGGCCTGATCGGCTTGGCCAGCGCTATGCCTGACCCCGACCCAGAGGCTGACCCAGCTGGCTTCGGCAGGTTTCATGGTGGAGGTGGCGGTCATGGCTTCCATAGGGGACACGGCCATGGAGTCGGAAGGGTTCATGGCCAAGGCTTTGCAAGGGGTCACAATCGTGGCTTCGGTGCTCGTCATGGCCAAGGCATTTACGGATAATGAAAAAGACGCCAGATATATACCACTGCAATCAACCCATTTGTATGCCAGAGGAGATGCAAATCTTTATCATACTGTAGGATGGAATTCATCTCCTTGTTCCAGAAATAAACTGCAAAATCAAAATCTTTAAGTAATTTCTTTTCCAAACTCAAATTCTAATAAATAAATAAACATATGTGTATATATGTGTATTTCTGTTTAAATATGATATACAGTATATATAGTATATATAAAGTGTATATATCTACAGTACATGTATACATATACATACACATGTGACTGAGTGTATGAGTATATAAAAATATTTCATGTGACAGAACAGCGTCCTTCGAAAAGGATCCTTCGTGGTTTCAGAAACACAAAGTAACTCATTCTGTCGCGTATATAAGCTTCGAATCCGTCAGGATCTGAGCATATTCCATTCGGCTTCTTTGCGACGCTCACCCATTCTCACCATGAAGCTTGTAAGCTACACTTCTTACCCCAGTGCAAAAAAAAAAAAAAACATTGTATGCAATATATTTCATTTTCATATGTCTAAAGTATCTGGTTAAAATAGTTGCTGCTCAACTTTTCTTTCACAAATGTTTGTTAGTTTTAGCACGAAAAGTTCTGCTCATCTTTGACCAGATTTTTTTTTTTTTTAAACCTTCTATAGATTGTTTTGTTCATTCTCTTTTGAAAGTAAAAAATGTGCATACAGATAAATGAAGTAATGAATTCTTATTATTCAAAATATCTAATAAAAAATATCTAAGCGATCCCTGATTTACAGCTGTCACTGTTCTTGGTCGTGATGGTGACCCTGTCTGGCCTGATCGGCTTGGCCAGCGCTATGCCTGACCCCGACCCAGAGGCTGACCCAGCTGGCTTCGGCAGGTTTCATGGTGGAGGTGGCGGTCATGGCTTCCATAGGGGACACGGCCATGGAGTCGGAAGGGTTCATGGCCAAGGCTTTGCAAGGGGTCACAATCGTGGCTTCGGTGCTCGTCATGGCCAAGGCATTTACGGATAATGAAAAAGACGCCAGATATATACCACTGCAATCAACCCATTTGTATGCCAGAGGAGATGCAAATCTTTATCATACTGTAGGATGGAATTCATCTCCTTGTTCCAGAAATAAACTGCAAAATCAAAATCTTTAAGTAATTTCTTTTCCAAACTCAAATTCTAATAAATAAATAAACATATGTGTATATATGTGTATTTCTGTTTAAATATGATATACAGTATATATAGTATATATAAAGTGTATATATCTACAGTACATGTATACATATACATACACATGTGACTGAGTGTATGAGTATATAAAAATATTTCATGTGACAGAACAGCGTCCTTCGAAAAGGATCCTTCGTGGTTTCAGAAACACAAAGTAACTCATTCTGTCGCGTATATAAGCTTCGAATCCGTCAGGATCTGAGCATATTCCATTCGGCTTCTTTGCGACGCTCACCCATTCTCACCATGAAGCTTGTAAGCTACACTTCTTACCCCAGTGCAAAAAAAAAAAAAAAAAAAAAAAAACAAAAAAAAAAAAAAAACGGAATGTGTTAAAACGTTTAACTTAGGTGAAAACTTTGCCATATAAAGCGAATTAGCTGTCTAGTATATGCATATACATATTTACTATATGTATATATATACTCATATGTATGCTTATTTATACATACAGTGTATATACGTGTACATGTGTGTCTAGGATTTTATACATGTATTATATATATGTCATATATATAATTGTATGTGTTTATATATATCCCTATATAGCCATATGTTTACGCATACAAATACATGCACAGACACATGACACGCACATAAACCCACACATATACACATATGTGGATATACATATGGCACATACATTACATACCCACAAGCACACATATATCCATGCATGTTTGTGTGTGTGGTGTAACAAAGGTAAGTCGATCACTTAAAGCAGTATTTGCCGAAGGAAGGACGGAAAATTGCTGTAAGCTCGGCGCATCTTATTTTCTGAAAATGAGGAATCGTTAAGTTCCTGATTTCCCTCGAAAACAAATAGTCGTTTAGAATGTTTGTCTCTTTCCCACTAAATCAGTTAGAAAAAAATAATAATACCAAGGTTAGTTTTTATGACATTAATACAGGAAATGTAATGCGCAGGTATTCCTCACATCTGAAAATATAAGCGTAGAAATCCTACCCACTCAGTGAAAAAAAACAAAAACGGAATGTGTTAAAACGTTTAACTTAGGTGAAAACTTTGCCATATAAAGCGAATTAGCTGTCTAATTTACGCAGTCTTTCTCTATGAGCGATTAACAACGTTAGTTATCGCACTTTAAGGACCCTTCTTGTTCCTCTCTCTTACACTCTCGCACTCTTTCCCTCTCACTCTTTATCTCCCACTGTTTCTCATATTTATAAATATAAATATATATACATAAATATTTACATATAAGTTTAATACTGTATACGCACGCACATACATACACACATATATTTATTTATACTAATATATGTATATGTGTGTGTGTGTGTGTATAGTATATATACAGTATATATAGTATATATAAAGTGTATATATCTACAGTACATGTATACATATACATACACATGTGACTGAGTGTATGAGTATATAAAAATATTTCATGTGACAGAACAGCGTCCTTCGAAAAGGATCCTTCGTGGTTTCAGAAACACAAAGTAACTCATTCTGTCGCGTATATAAGCTTCGAATCCGTCAGGATCTGAGCATATTCCATTCGGCTTCTTTGCGACGCTCACCCATTCTCACCATGAAGCTTGTAAGCTACACTTCTTACCCCAGTGCAAAAAAAAAAAAAAAAAAAAAAAAAAAAAAAAAAAACATTGTATGCAATATATTTCATTTTCATATGTCTAAAGTATCTGGTTAAAATAGTTGCTGCTCAACTTTTCTTTCACAAATGTTTGTTAGTTTTAGCACGAAAAGTTCTGCTCATCTTTGACCAGATTTTTTTTTTTTTTTTAAACCTTCTATAGATTGTTTTCTTCATTCTCTTTTGAAAGTCAAAAATGTGCATACAGATAAATGAAGTAATGAATTCTTATTATTCAAAATTATTATTCATTATTAAAAATTCTGATTATTTCAAATATCTAATAAAAATATCTAATAATGATTTACAGCTGTCACTGTTCTTGGTCGTGATGATGACCCTGTCTGGCCTGATCGGCTGGGCCAGCGCTATGCCTGACCCTGACCCAGAGGCTGACCCAGCTGGCTTCGGCAGGTTTCATGGCGGAGGTGGTGGTCATGGCTTCCACAGGGGGCACGGCCATGGAGTTGGAAAGGTTCATGGCCAAGGCTTTGCCAGGGCTCACATTCGTGGCTTCGGTGTTCGCCAAAGCCAAAGCATCTACGGATGATAAAAAGAACGCAACCAACCCCATTATGCACCAAAAAAAAAGTTGTAATTGATTAGCTTTTGGTGTAATTTAAATATTCATTTCAGGAAGGAATGGCGGAATCAAAATTCGTTTTATGCGTTTTGAACATACATGTATATATATATACCAACATCTACGCTATACCTATCCTCTCCCCCTTCCCTCCTCTTCCCCTTTAACCTTCCTCACCACCTTCTCTCTTTTATCACCTTCCTTCCCTCCCTCGTTTCCCATTTCTCTCTGACCTTTTCCCTTACACTTCTATTTACCTTTACCCATACCTTTTCCCCTCCCTTTCCCCATCCCCGTCTCCCTTTCCTCCACATCCTTCCTTTTTTATTTAAGTTCCCTTTCTTTTCCCCATTCCTCTCCCCTTTTAACTTGCTTCTTAAACTCGGATTGTTGTGGACATAAATATGCATAGACTGACGGTCAAACTACGTTAGTGGAGAAGAAAAATACATGATAATGATAGTGATATGATAATATTGATAATAATGATAAATGCCTTGACATGTCATTATATTCGGTTGCGTGCATGTGTGTGTGACACTCTTTAATATATATGTTGGCAATTAAGAGTCCATTTTACATCAAAATGAAATGGTTTCAACTTCGTGGAATATGTTTTTAGACTTAACGTACCCACTTTTCATCAGGATGAAACGGCATAAAATGTAATGGATTTACAAGTGTAACGTAGGCAAAATATAAGTTGGTTTATATTGCATACACATAAATATACATGCATATATATGTATGTGTGCATACATACATAAATATACATACATATAAATATATGTATGCATACATACACATATATACATGTATATATATGTATGTATGCATACATATATATGTGTGAACCGTAATCATATTTACAAATGTAGAAAAGTTATGAATGAGAATGAATATCATCAGAATACAATATTTTTATAATGAAGATATTCATTCTCATTCATAATGTTTCTACATTTATGTGAATATATGTGTGTATATGTTTATATATATATATGTATATATGTATGTAAACATTTTTTTTCATGTATAAATATATGAAAGTGTATGTGTGTGTGAATAAGTGCATTATATATATTTGTACATATATATGTATGTATGTATATATATATCAAATGCAAATATGTGCATTATATAAACACTATATATATAGATATGTATATATACTTCTAAGGATATATATATATATGTTTTAAGCCACTTGTATAGGTTTTATGTTTGCAAATTACGAAGACATGTATGAACACGATGAATGCAATTACTCATGAATATTTAGGAGAAAAAAAATATTCACAACGTCCCTGGTCTTGATAATGACCTTGTATGGCTTTATCAGCTGAGGCGTCGCCATGCTTGACCTTGGGCCCACCTGAACCAGTGAATGACCCAGCTGGCTTTGGTGAGTTTTATAGCAGAGCTTCCAGTCGTGGCTTTAACCAAGGCAGATGTCTATAATGAAGTATCTTGGTCTTAACAGACTTTAACTAAAATGCAACTCGCTTTTCCCAAGAAATGGTGTACAAACCTAGAGCGGTTTTCATACTTATTAATTTTATCTATTTTACTGTTCTATCACAATGGAAGCGTCTGCGTTTTCTTTCTTTCTTTCTTTCTTTCTTCCTTTATCTCCTTTCTTTCTTTTCTCCCTCTACTACTTCTCCTTATTACTTTATAGTACGCCATAACTTACTCTAGATTTCTGGGTGAGAGAACCCAAAATATGCTGACGTCATTCATACTTTGACTCCCGCCTTAGTGGGTGTAGCTTATGTTGCTGAGACAAAAAAAAAAATGCATATATACTTTGAAGATGATTTTCATTACTTATGTTTAAATAATCGCTGGAATAAATTGATGGCTTTTTTATCACCTTTTAAAAATATTATCATAACGTATTGTCGAAAATAAAAACGATTAAATATTACTGGTCAATCTTACAGCTATAGATTAGACATTAGGACTCCATATGGGTAAAACGCAAATTTACGGGCCTTACGAAAGAAACAATGGTTTTGTCTGATATCTTCCGGCGACTAACTGGCTACGTCTGCTTTCAAAAGCACGGAAAGTACAAGTCACTCTGGTATTCTGGTTCTCTTCCTCTTTTGAATATATACGCACGTGGCTTAAGTGCGTGTATAAATATATAAAAATGAATATATATACATATATATATAGATATATATGTATATGTATACACACATTCACACACACACACACACGCACACACACACACACACATATATATATATATATATATATATATATATATATATATATATATGTATACCGGCTGGTTTTACAAAGTGAATACCTCTCAAGTAGGTTTGGAATCCCTAACATCAGTCTAGGAATTTATATGCTGTGACTGTGTAAATAACGTTCAGACTGAGAAAACACGCCGTCACTGTAGAATAAAATACACACTTAGGTAAATGCAGACGGAAGTTATATGCAAATCATACGGAATCAGATCTGGACAATATGCTTTGTCCTTTTTGTCCTCTTCCATCTCCTGTGTTTTTCTTTCTCCATTTTTTTTTCTCGCTCTCTTATTTTTTTTTTTTTCTTCTCCGTTTTCGTTCTACATAACCTTTCTTTTTTTCTTTACTTCTTCACCTCCTCCTTCTCTCTTTTTTCTTCTTCTTAGTCATCGTTTCCTCCTCCTCCTTTATTTAGCATTCTTACAATTTGTTTCGATCCCGAATGAACCGGATGGAAAGTGAATTTTCATGATATGTTATAACTAAGGATTTAAAAGTGATACAAAAGAAGGGAATCGAGTTAGAACATTGCGCTTTCTTGTTTTGTTTTGTTTTTTCTCGTCTTTTGCTTTGCTCACGAATATAATTATTTCCATTGTTATAATTATCGTAATATTATCTTTGCTATATATATATATATATATATATATATACATATACATATATTCATATATATGTATATGTATATGTATATGTACATATACATGTATGTATGTATATATATAGCTATCTATATATATACATGTACATATAGAAACACGTGTATGTGTGTGTATATACATATAGATATCTCTTTCTATATATAAACAAATATAGAGAGATATATGTACATACACATATATTTATATATGTATGCGTGTGTATATATATATATATATGTGTGTGTGTGTATGTGTGTGTGTGTGTGTGTGTGTGTGTGTTGGTCTCTATATATAAGTATGTATATATTATATATACAAATATGTGGATTTATATATACATATATATGTGTAAATATATATATACTTATCTATTTACGTACATTTATCTATACATCTACCTATCTATCTATATACATATATATATATATGTATGTCTAAATGTATATAATTATATTTATATGTATGCTTATGTACATATATACATATACATATATATATACTGTATATATATGTATATATTTAAGTATATGTATACTTATACATATATGTGTGAGTATATATATATACAAATATATATATATGGCTTTGTATATGTGTGTGTTATCATTTCATCTCAAAACCACGAATAAAAGAGAAATGGAAAATCTATATATTACACTGCATTTACTCCTTTGACCTCTTCTGTTCAAAGGACATTTTGCGTTCATGTGACCCATAACTTAAAGCCGAAGACGGATCTTATCATGTCGCACAAGTATGGATAGAAGTGCCTGTCATAGTGGGCTCGTGACCTTCAGTATCATCATGAGGAGTATATATAAGCTCACATTTCCTTTGCAGTTTGTGTATAGATTCCCCTTGCCTTGGATAGGAGCCGAGTCTCTCTCACGTGCATAATCTTTAACATGAATCTGGTAAGTTTGTTTGTGTAAGAAACTTGTGGCTGAGAGATTTGCGTGCTGTTGATTTTTTTTTGTTTTTTTTTCTGTATATTTGGTTACTATGAGTGTCTGGATATTTTAAGAAAGGAAAAGGGATGTTTGTTATGTGAAGAATGAGTTAATGACAAATAGTAATGCCACCTGTATTAAGAAAATAGTTAAATAATTGTTGAAATATGTTTCTGGAGTTGATGTTTGATATATATATCGAAAAGATACAGAATGTTCAATGCTAAAAATGTGACGAATCGTTTTTACCCTTTCTCAGCTATTCTTTCTTCACTGATATTAGTGCTAAAATAATGTTGCGGAAAAGAAAGGTAGCATATAAGTTTATGTCATTTATTTTTCCCTAACCCAAATATCAGAAATTTCAAGTTTCGTAAAGCGTTATTTTATCTCTTTGCTTTATTTTTTTTTTTTTTTTTTCAGTTGTCGACAGTTCTAGCCCTGTTTGTGGCCCTAGCAGGCTTGGTGACCCTGACCGGTGCCGTGCCTGAGGCTTTCCCTAACCCCGTGGCTGACCCCGATCCCTTCAAATACAAGGGCGGCGGTGGATTCCAAGGGGGATATGGAGGCTACAGGAAGCATGGCTACGGAGGCTACAGGCGGGGCTACGGAGGCTACGGAGGCTACGGAGGCAAGAAGCATTTCGGCTAAAGCTCTGTTGTCTCGGTTGCCTGATAATCGGACTTTCCTTTCGGACATTAAAATCTGAAATTTATATCGACTGTCCCTTTTATCCAGAAAATAAATCAAACAAACTGATGGATGAAATCAATTATTTTTTATATTACACCAGCATAGAAAAATAGATGTTTATGCAATTTTGAATATACAGAGTGAGTATACATACATGTACTGGATATAAAAGCAAATACTTAATATCATGCGCGCGAACATATATATATTTACACAGCAGACACACAAATATTTTAACATACAAGTTCTTAAAAAAATAAAAAAAAAAAAAAAAAAAAAAAAAAAATCCTATATATATACATGTATGTATATATATATACATATATATACACATATGTGTGTTTAACTATATATATCTATATATACATATGTATTTATGCACAAATATATAATTGTATATGTATAAATAGAAATACATCTATCTACATATATGTATAAATGTATATATACATATATATCTATATGTATGCATGGACATGTACATTTATACATATATATGTGTGTAGTGTATGTATACTGTATATGTGTATATATTTAAATATATGTATACTTATACATATATATGTTCGTATATGTAACATATGCATAAATATGTGTATGTATATGTATGAGTGTCTTTTATCTTTTTGTCTCAAAACCATGAATAAGATAGAAAAGGAAAATCGATTTATACTACTGTATTGACCCTTACGACCCCTTCTGTTCAAAGGAAGCATGGCTACGGAGGCTACGGAGGTTTCGGCAAGAAGCATTTCGGCTAAAGCCTCTGTTTTCGCGGTTGCCTCATAATCGGGCTTTCCCTTCAGACGACACTAAAAACTGAAATTCATATCGACTGTACCTTTGATCCAGAAAATAAATCATACCAACTGGGTGGGTGAAAAAAAAAAAAATAATATTCTAAGTTAGAGCAGAATAGAAAATTAAATGTTTATGCAGTTCTGAATATACATAGTACATATACACACATAAACTAGACATACAAGCAAATATCAGCGCGAACATACACATATTTGCACACGCGTGGGCCAGTAGACACCCACTTGTACGTCTTAAAGTTTGGAATGTTCTTTCCAAGAATCGCAAAGCCAAAACTCATACACATTATTTTTCAAACTCATAAGTAGATTACTTCTTTCTTGCCCTTACGACAACACACGCAATCTATATGCACTCAAACATGTGTTTGTGAAAGATGGGAAAATGCGGTGTCGTATTGAACATTGGACTTGAACCCCGACCGTTCCAAGTATGACCCGGATGACCAGTACTAAAACAACCATACCACACAACCCACTAAAAGGAGTGTGCAACTAGGATCTTACTAGCTCCATAGACATTGCCTATCTGCTCATACTAGATAAAAGATAGCAGTGTTTAACTGATTTACATATTCAAATCCTAAGTCAGATGTTCTGAGGTATTTATGAAAGATTGAATAATGCAGCGACGCATCGATTTGGATGAATAACAACCCTCCCTGACTAGGACTCGAACCTTGGCCACTCCAGGTATGGCCCGGATGACCAGTACTAAACCAACCATACCACACGATCCACTATAAGAACCGTGCAACAAGGATCTCTTGTAACTAATGCAATGATGAATCAGATATAAAAATATGAATTTAATCTGCACCTGTTTTTTTTTCCTAGAAATGATCAAAACTAGAATGGCTTTCATACTTCATTTTACTTTTAAGAATCAGTGACAAAGAAATTGTTTAATCAAAGACAAGTGGTTTTATTTTTTAATCAAAACTGCGTTTTTCTGGATTTCTCTCTCTCCCTCTTCCTTTCTCCCTCTTCTTGCAGTGCCCACCGCCCCCCCCCTGGTTACTGGTTAATCTTACAGCTATAGATTAGACATTAGGACTCCCTATGGGTAAAACGCAAATTTACGGGCCTTACGAAAGAAACAATGGTTTTGTCTGATATCTTCCGGCGACTAACTGGCTACGTCTGCTTTCAAAAGCACGGAAAGTACAAGTCACTCTGGTATTCTGGTTCTCTTCCTCTTTTGAATATATACGCACGTGGCTTAAGTGCGTGTATAAATATATAAAAATGAATATATATACATATATATATAGATATATATGTATATGTATACACACATTCACACACACACACACACGCACACACACACACACACATATATATATATATATGTATACCGGCTGGTTTTACAAAGTGAATACCTCTCAAGTAGGTTTGGAATCCCTAACATCAGTCTCGGAATTTATATGCTGTGACTGTGTAAATAACGTTCAGACTGAGAAAACACGCCGTCACTGTAGAATAAAATACACACTTAGGTAAATGCAGACGGAAGTTATATGCAAATCATACAGAATCAGATCTGGACAATATGCTTTGTCCTTTTTGTCCTCTTCCATCTCCTGTGTTTTTCTTTCTCCTTTTTTTTCTTGCTCTCTTATCTTTCTTTTCTTTTTTTTTCTTCTCCGTTTTCGTTCTACATAACCTTTCTTTTTTTCTTTACTTCTTCACCTCCTCCTTCTCTCTTTTTTCTTCTTCTTAGTCATCGTTTCCTCCTCCTCCTTTATTTAGCATTCTTACAAAGTGAATTTTCATATGTTATTACCAAGGAATTAAAAGTGATACAAAAGAAGGGAATCGAGTTAGAACATTGCGCTTTCTTGTTTTGTTTTGTTTTTTCTCGTCTTTTGCTTTGCTCACAAATATAATTATTTCCATTGTTATAATTATCGTAATATTATCTTTGCTATATATATATATATATATATATATACATATATATATATACATATACAAATATTCATATATATGTATATGTATATGTATATGTACATATGCATGTATGTATGTATATATATAGCTATCTATATATATACATGTACATATAGAAACACGTGTATGTGTGTGTATATACATATAGATATCTCTTTCTATATATAAACAAATATAGAGAGATATATGTACATACACATATATGTATATATGTATGCGTGTGTATACATATATATATATGTGTGTGTGTGTATGTGTGTGTGTGTGTGTGTGTGTGTTGGTCTCTATATATAAGTATGTATATATTATATATACAAATATGTGGATTTATATATACATATATATGTGTAAATATATATATACTTATCTATTTACGTACATTTATCTATACACCTACCTATTTATCTATCTATATATATATATATATGTATGTCTAAATGTATATAATTATATTTATATGTATGCTTATGTACATATATACATATACATATATATATATATACTATATATATGTATATATTTAAGTATATGTATACTTATACATATATGTGTGAGTATATATATATACAAATATATATATATGGCTTTGTATATGTGTGTGTTATCATTTCATCTCAAAACCACGAATAAAAGAGAAATGGAAAATCTATATATTACACTGCATTTACTCCTTTGACCTCTTCTGTTCAAAGGACATTTTGCGTTCATGTGACCCATAACTTAAAGCTGAAGACGGATCTTATCATGTCGCACAAGTATGGATAGAAGTGCCTGTCATAGTGGGCTCGTGACCTTCAGTATCATCATGAGGAGTGTATATAAGCTCACATTTCCTTTGCAGTTTGTGTATAGATTGCCCTTGCCTTGGATAGGAGCCGAGTCTCTCTCGCGTGCATAATCTTTAACATGAATCTGGTAAGTTTGCTTGTGTAAGAAACTTGTGGCTGAGAGATTTGCGTGCTGTTGATTTTTTTTTTTTTTTTTTTTTTTTTTGTTCTGTATATTTGGTTACTATGAGTGTCTGGATATTTTAAGAAAGGAAAAGGGATGTTTGTTATGTGAAGAATGAGTTAATGACAAATAGTAATGCCACCTGTATTAAGAAAATAGTTAAATAATTGTTGAAATATGTTTCTGGAGTTGATGTTTGATATATATATCGAAAAGATACAGAATGTTCAATGCTAAAAATGTGACGAATCGTTTTTACCCTTTCTCAGCTATTTTTTCTTCACTGATATTATTGCTAAAATAATGTTGCGGAAAAGAAAGGTAGCATATAAGTTTATGTCATTTATTTTTCCCTAACCCAAATATCAGAAATTTCAAGTTTCTTAAAGCGTTATTTTATCTCTTTGCTTTAATAATTTTTTTTTTTTTTCAGTTGTCGACAGTTCTAGCCCTGTTTGTGGCCCTAGCAGGCTTGGTGACCCTGACCGGTGCCGTGCCTGAGGCTTTCCCTAACCCCGTGGCTGACCCCGATCCCTTCAAATACAAGGGCGGCGGTGGATTCCACAGAGGAGGATTCCAAGGGGGATATGGAGGCTACAGGCGGGGCTACGGAGGCTACAGGCGGGGCTACGGAGGCTACGGAGGCAAGAAGCATTTCGGCTAAAGCTCTGTTGTCTCGGTTGCCTGATAATCGGACTTTCCTTTCGGACATTAAAATCTGAAATTTATATCGACTGTCCCTTTTATCCAGAAAATAAATCAAACAAACTGATGGATGAAATCAATTATTTTTTATATTACACCAGCATAGAAAAATAGATGTTTATGCAATTTTGAATATACAGAGTGAGTATACATACATGTACTGGATATAAAAGCAAATACTTAATATCATGCGCGCGAACATATATATATATTTACACAGCAGACACACAAATATTTTAACATACAAGTTCTTAAAAAAATAAAAAAAAAAAAATAAAAAAATCCTATATATATATACATGTATATATATATACATATATATACACATATGTGTGTTTAACTATATATATCTATATATACATATGTATTTATGCACAAATATATAATTGTATATGTATAAATAGAAATACATCTATCTACATATATGTATAAATGTATATATACATATATATCTATATGTATGCATGGACATGTACATTTATACATATATATGTGTGTAGTGTATGTATACTGTATATGTGTATATATTTAAATATATGTATACTTATACATATATATGTTCGTATAAGTAACATATGCATAAATATGTGTATGTATATGTATGAGTCTTTTATCTTTTTGTCTCAAAACCATGAATAAGATAGAAAAGGAAAATCGATTTATACTACTGTATTGACCCTTACGACCCCTTCTGTTCAAAGGAAGCATGGCTACGGAGGCTACGGAGGTTTCGGCAAGAAGCATTTCGGCTAAAGCCTCTGTTGTCGCGGTTGCCTCATAAACAGGCTTTCCCTTCAGACGACACTAAATACTGAAATTCATATCGACTGTACCTTTGATCCAGAAAATAAATCATACCAACTGGGTGGGTGGAAAAAAAAAATATTCTAAGTTAGAGCAGAATAGAAAATTAATGTTTATGCAGTTCTGAATATACATAGTACATATACACACATAAACTAGACATACAAGCAAATATCAGCGCGAACATACACATATTTGCACACGCGTGGGCCAGTAGACACCCACTTGTACGTCTTAAAGTTTGGAATGTTCTTTCCAAGAATCGCAAAGCCAAAACTCATACACATTATTTTTCAAACTCATAAGTAGATTACTTCTTTCTTGCCCTTACGACAACACACGCAATCTATATGCACTCAAACATGTGTTTGTGAAAGATGGGAAAATGCGGTGTCGTATTGAACATTGGACTTGAACCCCGACCGTTCCAAGTATGACCCGGATGACCAGTACTAAAACAACCATACCACACAACCCACTAAAAGGAGTGTGCAACTAGGATCTTACTAGCTCCATAGACATTGCCTATCTGCTCATACTAGATAAAAGATAGCAGTGTTTAACTGATTTACATATTCAAATCCTAAGTCAGATGTTCTGAGGTATTTATGAAAGATTGAATAATGCAGCGACGCATCGATTTGGATGAATAACAACCCTCCCTGACTAGGACTCGAACCTTGGCCACTCCAGGTATGGCCCGGATGACCAGTACTAAACCAACCATACCACACGATCCACTATAAGAATCGTGCAACAAGGATCTCTTGTAACTAATGCAATGATGAATCAGATATAAAAATATGAATTTAATCTGCACCTGTTTTTTTTCCTAGAAATGATCAAAACTAGAATGGCTTTCATACTACATTTTACTTTTAAGAATCAGTGACAAAGAAATTGTTTAATCAAAGACAAGTGGTTTTATTTTTTAATCAAAACTGCGTTTTTCTGGGTTTCTCTCTCTCCCTCTTCCTTTCTCCCTCTTCTTGCAGTGCCCACCGCCCCCCCCCCCCAAAAAAAAAAAAAACATAAAAATCTTACGCCATAAGCTGCACTAGACTTCTGGATGAGAGAATCTTAAATATTCACCCTTTGACTCCCGGCTTAGTAGGTATAGCTTATGTTGCAGGGACACACACACAAACATATATGTTGCATACGATTTTCATTATTTATATAGCTTGCTTGCTTCTCCATCACTTTTTTTTTACCTCTCTAGATAATATCTCTAGTAGATATGGAATTCCTAATATCAAATGACTGTATAAATGGCGCTAATTTCATTGTTCAGAAAGCGCCGTCGCTGTTTCTTTCTTTTTGTCTTCTTCCTCCTATTTTTTCTTTCTTTCTTTCCTTTTTTTGCCTTCTCCTTTTTACTTTCATCTTCATTGTATTTGTTTTGTTTTTTTTCATCTCCCCCGTTTTTTTCTACTTATTCGACTCCTTTCATTTTCTTCTTCACCTCCTTTTTTTCAAACCCGAATGAACCGGATACAAAGTGAATCTCCATGATATTTTTTTTATTCTCGTCTTTTGCTTTTTCCCCTCATTACTTTTTCTTGTCTTTCCTCTTTTTTATTAGGGAAATTACTGCAACTGTGTTTGCGAAAGACCAGTAACTTCCAGTAAACAAAAAAAAAAGTAATAACATTCCTTGCAAGATGTTGCAATCAACTTATAATCAGTTTAACGAAAATGGCAGGTGGGATGATAATGAAAAGCACGTTTATTGCAATTGCGATTGATTAAGATAAATGAAGACTCATGTTGCTAATGTCTCTCTGCAACTTGCTACATTCTTAAACGGAAACAGATTTTAGAGAGTACATCTAGAAACTTCACGATGAATCAAAAAGTACAAGACATAAATCTAAAGATAATAGGCATTATAAAATAAAGAGAAGTGATCGAATTGGCATTTCAGAAGTTAACACATGTTCTACAAATCTAATATCATTTCCATAATAAATGTGCGAATAGTCTATCTAATGATTAAGAAAGAAGTGTCTTCAGGTTTTATATAAGAGTCGGCCATCAGTGGAAAAATATACCATAATCTCTAATAAAGTCATTACGTAATTGATTATGTTATCATCACCGACATAACTATTACAATCTTCATCATCGTTTTTATTGTCATTATCATATTAGTCTTGTCACAGTTATTGTTGGTTTATTATGGCTATCAGTGTTAGCATTATTGCTATTAACATTAGTTATCATAATTTTTATTATCACAATAGTATCATTGTTATTATTATTACTATTACCATTATTATCATTGTCATCATTACTATTACTATCACTATTATTACTATTATTATTACTGTTATTGCAATTATTAATATGTTCTTATTATCATCTTTAGTAGTAGTAGTATTTGAATTATTATTATTGTTTTTATTTTATATCATTATTAACACCATCATCACCAGTATTATTACCATCATCAGTTCTTTTCTTTTTTTACTATTTTTATTATTATCACCATTGTTGTTGTTAGCTATATATCAGTCTGCCTGTCTGTCTGTCTCAGTCTCTTTTTCTCTCTCTATATATATGCTTGCATATATATATGTGTGTGTGTGTGTGTATGTAAGCATATATATGTATGTATCTCTCAATGTGTACATACATATATTATATACATATATATGTATATGTGTATATATATATAAACATACATGTGTATGTATGTATGCCTCTCTCTATTTATATATACATATATTTAAGCATATATATATATATATATATATATATATATATATATATATATATATATAGTTATACAAATACATACATATTTATGTATATCCATCTATATATGTATATATACATATATAAGTATATTTACATATATGCATACATTGATATATATATATATATATACAGTCTATATGAGTAGTTATTCATATATATATATATACTTATACATATAAATGTGTATAAATTTGTATATATAAATATATATATAAATATATATGTAAATGCATACATATATATATATATATATATATATATATATATATATATATACATACGTGTGTGTGTGTGTGTATGTGAGGGTGTGGATGTATGTGTGTGTGTGTGTGTGTGTGTGTGTGTGTGTGTGTGTGTGTGTGCTTCTTTTCATCTGAAAGCCACGAATAAAAAAAAAGGAAAATATCTATATATAGTGCAGTATTTACCCTTACGACCCCTTCTGTTCAAAGGACAACACCTCACACTATGAGACCCATAACTTAATGCTGAAGACGATCTTTAAATGTTGCACAAGAAAGGATAGAACCGCATGTCATAGTGTGCCCGCGACCTTCAGTGTCATCACGAGGGGTGTATATAAGCCCAGATTCCCCTCGTGGTTTGTACATAGAGTGTCCTGCCTTGGCTCAGAGCTGATTCTCTCTTGCTTGCAAAACACTGAACATGAAGCTGGTAAGTCTATGTGATTTCAACTTACGAAATTTGTGGCTGAGAGATTTGCGTGCTGTTGAACTGCGTGATGTGAATCGTATGTGATTTTTGGTTATTGTTTTGTGCATGTGATTACTATGAGTGTTTGGGTACGGAAGGAAAGATGCCTGTTATAGGAAGGAGGAGCTAATAATTAATACTAATCAATATTACCCTAATATTGATGCTACCCGTAATAGTTAAATACTCGTTGAAATATACTTCTGGAGTGGATGAGCTTTCTGTAAAAGTTTATGCTATTGGTATTTTATCCGTTTTTGTAGGTTATATTGAGATGTAGAACTTTCAGTGTTAAAGATATGACGAGTTTCTTTTCTTAATTGATTTAAGTATTTACTGTAAATGATGTGGAAAAGGAGAGGACATAGTGTTATGTAACTTGTTTTTCCCTAACCCAAATATCAGAAATTTCAAGTTTTATAAGGGACAATTTTTATATATTTACTTTAACTGATTTCAGATTCACATTCAACAGATTTTGAAATATGGTTATGTTTTTTGTATCTTGATGTATGATACTAAACTAGACTCTTTTTAATATTTCTTAGTTTATGTATTCTGGTCTTATGGTTATGGGTTATGTGTGTGTGTTATGTGTGTGTAAGAGAGAGGGAAGGAGAGAGAAAAATATGTTTCTTACCATTTTTTTTTTTTTTTTCTTGTGCAATCGATACCCAACATTAAAAAGCGTATTCACAATTATGTCTTTGGGCTTTGCAGTTGTCGATGGTTCTGGCCCTGTTTGTGGCCCTTGCAGGATTGATGACCCTGACCAGTGCCATGCCTGAGGCTGTCCCTAACCCCGTGGCTGACCCAGATCCCTTCAAATTCAAGGGCGGCGGTGGATTTTACAAAGGAGGGTATGGAGGCTACAGGAGGTTTGGCTACGGAGGCTTCAGGCGGGGCTACGGAGGCTACGGAGGTTTCGGCAAGAAGCATTTCGGCTAAAGCCTCTGTTGTCTCGGTTGCCTCATAATCGGGCTTTCCCTGCAGAAGACACTAAAAACTGAAATTCATATCGACTGTGTCTTTGATCCGGAAAATAAATCATACAAACTGATGGGTGAAATCAATATTCTTTAAGTTAGACCACCGTAGAAAATTTGGTGGCTACGAAGGTTTCGGCAAGAATTTCAGGTAAAGCTTCTGTCTCGGTTGCCTGGTAATCGGCCTTTCTCCTGCAGACAACACTAAAATTTAAAATTTATATCGTCTTTATCTTTGATACAAATGATAAAAATGAGTGAAATTATTCATCTTTGACCAGCTTAGAAAATTAGATGTTTATGTACTTTTTAATATACAGAGTGAGTATACCCATTGAACATACAAGCAAATACTTTATATGGGTATGCCAGCAGACACATATATCCGTACACGTTTTGTCTTTCAAACCAAAGAGTAGATTATTTAATATTTCTTGACCTTATAGTATGCACACACACATGAAGATGGAATAATGCAGTACAGCATTGATAAGGATAGTTAACAACCCTTCCTGACCAGGACTAGAACCCTGGCTGTGCAATTAGGAACTTACTAGCTCCATATACATTGTCTATCTACTCAGTGGAAACTGATTTAAAAAACAAATCTTAAGTCAGATGTACTGAGGTACCTATGAAAGACGGAATCATGCAGTTTCGCATCGATATGGATAATTAACAGCTCCCTGACCAGGACTAGGAATTAGGCCGCTCTAGGTGTGACCTGGATTGCGGGTTGTGATAATAAAGTGAGTTGCGATAATGAAGTATGTAGTGAGTGCCATGTTGTGATGCCGTTACATACGGGTTATGATGACAGTATGAGCGTAGTATGTTGTGATGGCATCACTAAATGGCACTCACAACTTACTTTATTATCACAACTCATTCGGATGACCAGTATTAAACCAACCGTACCACACGACCCACTAAAAAGACACTAGCTCCATAGACATTACCCTTCTGCTCACACCGAGTATGTAAAAACTCACTATCCTTCTCTAGTTTGAGTAGATAAGCAATTTCTATGTGCGTTCATATATATATATCATATGTGTATCACGTATATATATATTAATGTATATTTTTTGTCTATAGATATGCGTGTATGCAGATAAATAGATATTGATGTATATACACGTATACATCTACACTTAAATATGCACACACGCATAAATCTATCTATATATGTATATATACATATATACACATGTGCATGTGTCTGCGCGAGTGTGCATGAGTATATACGCATATTTTAAAGCAAAGTTAAGAAATCAATGGAATAACCTTTCATGTGACAGTGTGGTTTAGGCAACCACACGGTAGTCAAATCAACTCTTTATTGACGGAGTTTACAGGGGTGTGTCATGGTCAGAGTCAAGCCGATGAGTGTGTGCGTTGTTTTGGAATCCGCGGCTTAAATGGGCCAGGCACGATGTTTACTCTCCGGTCAGGTCCGGAGAGGTAAGCGGTGATTGGTGGTGATCCTAACTCGCCAAACGGAATGCGTCAGGTCCTACGGAGTGCCGAAGCTTGCCGCGAGCTGGTCACCACAACAAGACAGAATTGTTAGAGAAGGCCCTTTGCTGGTTTAAGTGAAAAAGTTACACATTACGACACTCAGACATTTTCAACATGAAACATGTAACAATTCTTACCCCTGTACAAAAAAAAAATGTCTGTAACTGGAAAATTGTTACTCTTCAAAATGTCAAAAAAAGTCTTCCTTTCTTAAAATTACAGTTGCTGTTCAACTTTTCTTTCACACATATGATTATCAGATTTTATTTTTCATTTTTTGTTTTGATAGTTCCTTTCCTCTGTCAAAATAATATATAGGAATGGTAAATGAACTGCTTCTATAGTTTTCTATAGTTTGTTGTCTTTATTTATGTTATAAACATGGAAGCAGGTAAATGATATAACGATTATTTCATATATCAAACAAAAATTATCCTAATGTTCCTTATTTACAGCTGCTATTGTTTCTGGCCCGATCAGCTGTACCAGCGCTATGCCTGACCCCGACCCAGTGACTGACCCAGTTGGCTTCGGTTGGTTTCACGGCGGAGGTTGCGGTCATGGCTTCCACAGGGGGCACGGCCATGGAGTTGGAAGGGTTCATGGCCAAAGTTTTGCCAGGGCTCACAGTCGTGGCTTCGAAGCTCGTCATGACCTATGAAAAGGACAGCAGATATCTACCACTGCAATCAACCCACCTGAATACCAGAGGATATGCAGTGGATTATCAAACTGTATACACACATATATGTGTATATGAATATATATACACATATGTGTGTGTGCGAGTGCGCGAGTATATGGGTGCACGTAAATGGAAAATTTATTACACTTCAAAGTCTAATAATTATCTATTTGGTATTTTTTTAAAGTATGGGATGCTGTTCAACTTTTCCTTATCAAGAACACTTATCTTTTTTTTTCTTTTGCAAGTTATAGATATGCAACCGAATATAGTAAATAACGAATTCTTATTCAAAATATCTAAAAAATATATCCAAACGATCCTTTATATACAGATGTCAGTTTCTGGTTGTAATGGTGACCCTGTCTGGCCTGATCAGCTGGTGCAGGGCCGCGCCTGACCCCGACCCAGAAGACACATGGTTTCATGGCGGAGGTGGTGGTCATGGCTTCCACAGGGGGCACGGCCATGGAGTCGGAAGGGTTCATGACCAAGGCTTTTTTTTTACCCGTCTTCCTCCGATCTCCTTGAATGTTATCACTATTACCATTTGCATATGTATGTACATAAAGAAAACTATATATACAAATATATGTAGGTATGCACTATCATCTACGCCATACTTTCTCCCTCCCTCATCCCTCCTCCTCCTCCTTAACCTTCCCCACCTTCCCTCTTTTATCCCCTTCCCTCCCTCCCTCATCTCCCTTTCCTCCCTGAGTTTCTCCCTTACCCTGCCTATCCGTGTTCACGCCCTTTCCCTTTCCCCATCGTCCCTTTCCCCATCATCCCTTTCCTCTTTCACTCTCCTTCCCCTCCCTTTCTCCACACCTTTTCTTCCTTTTTAAGTCCTCTTTCTTTTCCCTGTTCCTCTCCTCTTCCTAACTTACTTCTTAATCTCGTACTGTGGAAATAATAAATAAGCAAAGATTGACGTTCAAACTACTTCAGTGCAGTCTAGTGATAGATGCCCTGACTTGATACCTTAATGTGCGATCGGTCGCTTGTATGTGTGTCACTCTTTAATATTTATGTTGCCAATTATCATCAGAACGAAGCGACTTAGAGTATAACTTCAAGCTTACAAGCTTGATGTACAGACGAAATACAAACCGATTTATAAGACTCACATACAGGCACATACATATGCATATATATGTGTAGAGTGTTTTCACTATTCATATATATGTGTGTATGTATGTACGTATTCATGTTGACAAATGTATAAAAGGTATGAAAGAATGAATATCATCACAATAAAAGAAATGTATTGTGAAGATAATGATTCTCATTCATACTTCCTCAACATATATATGTATATATATACGTGTTGTTTTTATATATAGCGTATGTATGTATATGTGTATATATACATATATATATGAAAATATATATTAATATATATACATATATATGTGTGTATGTGTGTGTGTGCGTGCGTGTGTGTATGTGTGTGCAAATACGTGCACTATGTATATACATATATATGTATATATACATCAAATGCAAATTTATGCATTATATTTACAAATATATATGTACACATATACATGTGTGTTTCTGCGAAAATTGTGCATTAAGTCGCTTCTTGTATAGGTTTTATGTTTGCAAATTACGAATGTATTTATGAACATCAACGCCATTACTCATGAATATCTGGTAAAAAATGCATGCCGAGTAGGATGCTAGGTCTACTGTCTATTAGGTCTACTATATATCATTGTAATTAGTCCAATAATGAATCGATGAGGCTTTAACTAAAATATTTCTCTTTATCAAAAATAATCTGCAACTTGTTTCCCCTAAAAATTATGTATGAAACTTGGACGCCTTTCATACTTTTAAGAATCGATAACAAGGAAATTGTTCAGTCATAATTTGAGACCAAAATAGAATTCTTTATGGAAGCATCTACGGTTTTCTCTTGTATTTCTCTCTCTTTCCCATTTCTCCCTTTTCTGCTTTTCACTCTTACTTTACTGCAGTGCACTTTTTTTCTTTCTTTCTTTCTTTTTCTCATTCATAATAAAACAAACAAAATATCATTTATTATGGACGTATTTGCGTTTTTCTATTGTCTTTTTTCTTTTTTTTTCTCATTCATAATAAAACAAACAAAATATCATTTATTATGGACGTATTTGCGTTTTTCTATTGTCTTTTTTCTTTTTTTTTCTCATTCATAATAAAACAAACAAAATATCATTTATTATGGACGTATTTGCGTTTTTCTATTGTCTTTTTTCTTTTTTTTTCTCATTCATAATAAAACAAACAAAATATCATTTATTATGGACGTATTTGCGTTTTTCTATTGTCTTTTTTCTTTTTTTTTCTCATTCATAATAAAACAAACAAAATATCATTTATTATGGACGTATTTGCGTTTTTCTATTGTCTTTTTTCTTTTTTTTTCTCATTCATAATAAAACAAACAAAATATCATCCGTTATACAAGTATCTGCATTTTTCTTTTTATTCTCTTTTCCTTCTTTTCTCCTCATTCGTCTTCCTTGACTGCAGTGCGAAAAAGAAATCCTTCGTACCATCTGCGTTTTTCTATTGTTTTCTTTCTTTTCCTTCTTTTCTCCCTCTTCGTATTCCCTTACTGCATTCGTACGTCATAAACTACACTAGACCTCTGGGTGAGAGAACCCAAAATATGCTGACGTTGCAAACGATTTTGATTATTTTTGTTAAATATGATGAACTAAGTGGATTGCTTCTTCATCACTTTTTTGTTATCATAATGTATTATCTTAAATCGATTAAATGTTACTATTTATTCTTACTGATATAGATTAGACTTTGCTTGGATATACCCAGGCAATTCCTGGATCTGAGAATATTCCATGTGAGTAAAACGCAGATATATTCTTTCAAAAGCACGGAAAGTGCAATTCACTCTGGTATTCTGGTCCTCTTCTTCTTTGAAATATATACCTACGTGAATTATGTGTGAAAATAAATACGTAAACACACACACACACACACACACACACATATATATATATATACATATATATATATATATATCGGCTGGGAATATCTCTCTAGCAGATCTGGAATTCATATCAGTCTAGGAATTTATATGCTGTGACTGTATAGATTCATCGTTCAAGACTGACAAAACACGCCGATATACACTTCGGAAAATATAAACGAAAGTCATATGCTAAACATACAGGATCAGATTTTGGACAGGGTTATTTTTTTAGTTCTTTTTGCTGTATTGCTCCAATTATGAAACGATGAGACTTTAACTAAAAAGTTGGATCTAATTTGCAACTTGTTTTTTTCCCGAGAAATGATGCATAAAACTAGGGTGGCTTTCATACTTATTCACTTTACTTTTAAGAATCAATAACAAAGAAATTCTCCAGTTATAATAATACAAACAAAATATCATTTATTATGGACGTATTTGCGTTTTTCTATTGTCTTTTTTCTTTTTTTTTCTCATTCATAATAAAACAAACAAAATATCATCCGTTATACAAGTATCTGCATTTTTCTTTTTATTCTCTTTTCCTTCTTTTCTCCCGCTTCGTCTTCCTTTACTGCAATGTGAAAAAAAAGAAAAAAGAAATCATTCGTAGCATCTGCGTTTTTCTATTATTTTCTCTCTTTTCCTTCTTTTCTCCTTATTCGTCTTCCTTTACTGCAGTGCGGAAAAGAAATCCTTCGTACCATCTGCGTTTTTCTATTTTCTTTCTTTTCCTTCTTTTCTCCCTCTTCGTATTCCCTTACTGCATTCGTACGTCATAAACTACACTAGACCTCTGGGTGAGAGAACCCAAAATATGCTGACGTCATTCCCCCTTCGACTCCCGCCTTAGTGGGTGTAGCTTATGCTGCTGAGACAAAAGAAAAAAATGCATTTATACGTTGCAAACGATTTTGATTATTTTTGTTAAATATGATGAACTAAGTGGATTGCTTCTTCATCACTTTTTTGTTATCATAATGTATTATCTTAAATCGATTAAATGTTACTATTTATTCTTACTGATATAGATTAGACTTTGCTTGGATATACCCAGGCAATTCCTGGATCTGAGAATATTCCATGTGAGTAAAACGCAGATATATTCTTTCAAAAGCACAAGAAGTACAAGATACTCTGGTATTCTGGTCCTCATCCTCTTTTGAATATATACGAACGTGCATTATGTTTGTAATAAAAAAAATATATATATATACCGGTTGGAAATAGCTCTCTAGTATATCTGGAATTCCTAACATCAGTCTAGGATTTTTATAGCATGACTGAGAAAGAACGCCGTCCCTATAGGATATAACATACACTTGGGTAAATATAGACGGAATTTTTATGCTAATCATACAGAATCAGATTTTTTCTGCTTCACCTCCACCTTTCTTTTTTTCATTTTTTCCTCTTACTTTCTTTATCTTTACTAGAATTTTTTTTCAAGCCCGAATGAACCGGATATAAAGTGAATTTCCATTATGTGTTTTTTTCTCTCTCGTCTTTTGTTTTTTCTCTTGAATTTTTTCTAATCTTTCTTCTTTCTTATCAAGGAAATTACTGCAACTATGTTTGCGAAAGACCAGTAACTTCTGTTAAAAAAATAATAATAAATTTAAAAAATAACATTCCTTGCAAGATTCGATGTTGCAATCATCTTATAATCAGTTTTACGAAAACAACACACGCAATGATAATGAAAATGGTTTTCATTATCATTTCGTTCATTGCAACTGCGTATAATTCAGAAAACCGAAGTCTCGTGTTCCTAATTTCTCTGCAACTTGCAACACTAGAACAAAACACGTTTATGAGAGTAAATCTAGAAATTTTGTGATGAAATAAAAAGTTAATAAAGTATATTTGTCTAATACAAAGAAAATTGATATTTAGGATGCTTTGTTGATACAGTTATCTATTTAGCGAATATCCGCATAGCAAAAGTACAAATATGTGTACCTTAAAAGTGAAATGGAACCTTTAAAGATATAAATAGACATTGCATCTGTTATTTCTGAGAACGATTTTTCCATGAATGTTGTTTATTACTTGCATTTAATTCTCTTGAATTTAGGTATCTTTTATGATTGATTATGAGAAGATAGTAGTGTTTTTTTCCGTCAAAATCATACTTGATTAAAATGATAATGATAATGTTAATAGTAAAATTACTGATAGTGAAGAAAGTATAAACAACGAAATCAAGAATAATAATGATAATGATAACAATAATAACAGAGGTAATGATAATGATAACAATAATAATATCGATGACAATAGCAATGACATTAATAATAGTAACTGTAATTACAAAATAACTATAATGAAAAATAAGTGGTGTTAGTACTGTTGAAAATTATGATACTAATGTAATAAAAACTAAAAGTAAAAAGTAATATAAAAGCTAACAGTAATAAAGTAATATTATCAAACGAATTTTTGGTTTTGTTTGGAAAGCAATTTGTTGCATTCAAACTGTGATAGCAATCGTCTGCCAAGAAATGACTTTGCAAGCAGCTGTCTCAAGACCTTTTATAACTGATATTAAATTGCCAAATATTATTATATTTCAATACAATTTTACATTTTCGCGAATACCTCTGCATCTTGACAAAGGATATATAAATATTTTCGATACGTCTTTAACAGTATCAAATAAAACCTATAAACAGATACCATAAATGTCCATATAATACGCAAGATAAAGAGAAAATAACAAATTGGCAATTTCGATTGTGCAATGAGTGGCCAGATCTTAAGACCCGATGCCAGACAATATTGAAATCAAGAACTCCTAAGTTAACACATGATATTATTTCCATAGAATAGCCGTATCTAATGATTAAGAAAGAAGTAAAAGGTATCTTCTGATTTATATAAGTGTCCACCATCAGTGGAATATATATCATAATCTGTAATTAAATCATTACGTAATCATTTCTGTTACCATCACTGATATCATCATTGCAATTATAACTCTCATCTTTGTTTTTATTGTCATTATCAAGAGAATCATAATCATCTCATAGTTATTCTATTATCATATTGGTATTATCACAAATAATGTTAGTTTTATTATTACTATCAATGTTATCGTTATTGTTATTACTGTTATTACATTACTGTTATTGTCGTTATTATCATCATTATTATTATTTCTATTATGGATGAGAATATTATAACTATTAATAGTAGTAAAAGTAGTAGTATTGTAATTACTGTTATTACTACTATCATTGCTACTATTATCATTATTATTATTATTATCATCATTAGTATTGATATTGTCACTTCCATTATTATTATTATTTTATTATCATCATGATTATCATCATCATCATTATTACTATTATCATTATTATCAACCAATATCGCTATCAATGTAATCAGTTATCGCCATTATTAATATTTCTACTATTATCACTATTGCATTTATTATCGATATCACAAATATTAGAGTTACTATCAATATCAGTTATTTTTTTCTTAATGTTATTATCGTTAATATCATTGTTATTGTTGTTCTTTATCAACATATCTATCTCTCTGTCATATATGTATAATAAAACATACACATAAACACACACACGCACACACACACTTATATAAATATATATATATATATATATATATATATATATATATATATATATATATGTATATGTATACACAGACACACACATATACACATGTATATATGTGTGTATGTGTGTGTGCATGTATATATACATGTATGTATTGATGCATACTTGCATGTATGCATGTATATATGTATATATGGATATTTTGTACATAATATATATATACATATATATATATATATATATATATATATATATATATTTATATAAGTATAATATATATATACATGTATTTATATATACGCGTACATAATTATATGTATGTGTGTATGAATATATATGCATATTTATTATATATATATATACATATATATATGTATTTACATATACACATATATAACTATATGTATGTGTTTATAAATAAATATGCATATGTTTATGTATATCTATCTATATATCTATATATACATATAAGTTAATATATACATGTATGTATGTATACATATATATGTATGAACATATATATACTGTATATATATATATATATATATATATATATGTATATATTTGAATATTTATATAATTATACATATATATGCATATATACATACATATATACAAACATATATATGTTTTCACATATAAGTCTGCTTGTGTATGAGTGTGGGTGTGCACATGTGTGTGTATGAGTGTATGGAAGTGTGTGTATGTGTGTTATCTTTTCATCTCAAAGAGCAACATTTGGCGCTCATGAGGCCCATAACTTAAAGATGAAGACGGACCTTGAAATGTTGCACAAGAAAGGACAGAAGTGCCTGTCATAGTGGGCTCGCGACCTTCACTGACATCACGAGGGATGTATATAAGCTCAGATACCCCTTGGAGTTTGAGCATAGATTGTCCTTACCTTGGCTCGGAGCTGAGTCTCTCTCGCGTCCCTGAACATGAAGCTGGTAAGTTTGTGAAATTTCAGCTTATGAAACTTGTGGCTGAGAGATTTGCGTGTTGTTGAATTGAGTTGAGTTGATTGAGTTGATGATTAGTGTGTTAATACTCATGCAAACCGTATTAACAATAGTTAAATACTCGTTGGAATGTTTCTGGATTTTCTGGAAAGGTTCATGCTATTGGTATTTTTATCCTTTTTTCGTAGATTATATTGAAAAGAGGTAGAATCTTCAATGTTAATAACGTGACGAGTTATTTTTTCCTCTCAAAATTTATTTTTCATGACTGATATAAGTATTTACTGAAATCAATGTTGTTTATATTGTTTTTGTTTGTTTGTTTTTTGTTTTGTTTTCCCTTACCCAAATTTTGGAAATTTAAAGTTTTGTAAAGCTAGATTTTTTATCTATTTGCTTTTGATTTAAGATTCACATTCAAAGATTTTGAAATATGGTTGTGCTTTTTTGGCATCTTGATGTACGATACTGAACTAGACTTTATAATAATTCTTATGGTCAATGTGTGTTATGCGCATGTGCGTACGTTTGTGATTGTGTGAGAGTGGGGGGAGTGGAGAGAAAAAAAAAATCATACTATATTTTCATTCAAAATGTATTCACAATTATTTCCTTGGCTTTTGCAGTTATCGATGGTTTTGGCCTTGTTTGTGGCCATAGCAGGCTTCGTGACCCTGAGCAGTGCCATGCCTGAGCCTGACCCTTTGGCTAACCCTAACCCCGTGGCTGACCCCGATCCCTTCAAATTCAAAGGCGGTGGATTCCGAAGGGGATATGGAGGTTTCAGGCGGGGCTACGGAGGCCACGGAGGCTTCAGGAGGGGCTACGGAGGCTACAGAGGTTTCGGAGGTTTCGGCAAGAAGAAATTCGGCTGAAGCCTCTGTTGTCTCGGTTGACTGATAATCGGGCTTTCCCTTCAGACGACAATAAAATCTGAAATCTATATGAAGCGTATCTTTGACCTGGAAAATAAATCGTGGGTGAAAGCAATTATCTTTCAGCTAGACCAGCACAGATAATTAGGTGTTTAATTCAGTTTTGAATATACAGAGTGATTATCCACACACATACTGGGCATACAAGCAAATACTTTATATCATGCGCGCGAACATACACACATATTTTACACATGCCAGCAGACTCACACATGTGCGTCTTTGCGTACATGTCCTTTCCAAAAATCAAAGCAAAATCAAAACTTGTACACTTTTTTGTCTTTTAAATTCGAATAAATTATTTCTTATTTCTTGCCCTTGTAACACGCACATATATATGCACACAAACATGTATGTTTGTGAAAGATAGAATAACGTAGTGCTGCATTGATATATGATAACCCTCCCTGAATAGGAATTAAACCATGGCTGTTCCAGGCATGACCCAGATGATTAGTACTAAACCAATCATACCACACAATCCACTAAAAGGAGTGTGCAACTAGGATTTCACTAGCTCCATAGGCATTGCCTATCTACTCATAAAAGATTAATAATAAAGAAGTTTTACAAATTTAAATCCTAAGTCAGATGTATTTATGAAAGATGAAATGATGCAGTGACGCTTTGATATGCATAAATAAAAACCCTCTCTGCTCTGACCAGTATGACCCGGATGGCCAGTATTAAACCAACCGTGCCACACAATCCACTAAGAAGACAGTGCAACCAGGAGTGGGTAAAACATCGCTATCATTACTCTATTATGAGTGGATAAGTAATGTCTATGTGTGTGTACATGTTTATATACTCATACATGTATTCATATACATATATATATACACATGTGTGTATATATTCACATATATGCATACATTTATATACACACATATGTGCGAGTACTGCCCATATGTATATATACATGTTCTCGCCATGAAGCTCGTAAGTGACATTCTTATCCTTTTCACAAAAAAATGCATGTAATTAGATTTTTCAGTTTTGATAGTTCTCTCCTCTCTTTTATCAAAATGATAATAGTAATAATAAATGAACTGCTTCTATATATTTGTTTTAGGTTTTTTGTTTTTATATGTGTCATAAATATATAAGCAGGTAAATAATATAACGATTTTTTTCAAATACGTAATAAAATTATCCAAACGGTACTTTGTTTACAGTTGTCACTGTTTCTGATCTGATCAGCTGGACCAGTGCCATGCCTGGCCCCTGACCAGTGGCTGACCCAGCTGGCTTCGGCAGTGTTTGTGTGTGTGTGTGTGTGTGTGTGTGTGTGTGTGCATAAGTATATATTCTTGCGCTTTACCCTTTAGCCTCGGCTTGAACCTCCAGGTCAGCGATCTCAGACATTGCTTTTGTTATTCACAATTTAACTACTGTTTCGAGAGAGAGCATTTTCTATTACGTTAGATATGTAGGTGAATATACATTTATTATGAATATATGCATAAAACATGTAAAATATGTATCTATCTATCCATACGTGCATACTATATATATGCATATTGTATATATGAATATATGTGCATATACATATTATTGTATGTGTTTGTGTGCATTCATTAGTACATATATATGTATATATATATATATATATATATATATATATATATATATATATATATATATATATATATATATATATATATATATATATATATATATATATATATATATATATATATATATATATATATATATATATATATATATATATATATATATATATATATATATATATATATATATATATATATATATATATATATATATATATATATATATATATATATATATATATATATATATATATATATATATATATATATATATATATATATATATATATATATATATATATATATATATATATATATATATATATATATATATATATATATATATATATATATATATATATATATATATATATATATATATATATATATATATATATATATATATATATATATATATATATATATATATATATATATATATATATATATATATATATATATATATATATATATATATATATATATATATATATATATATATATATATATATGTATATATACTGATATGTCTATATGTACATACACACACATATATATGTATATATATACATGCGTATGCACAAACACAGATCTATACATAAACATATTTATGTACAGATTATATACATATATAAATACATATGTTTATATGTCCATATATCCAAATGTATATCATATTTACATACATATATATTATGCACATACACACATATGTTTATATTCATAAGCAGGGTGATCACAAAAGCAGTGTTTCCAGAAGGGTGCAAATTGCAATCAGTTCAGCGTAGTATTTTCCCCCCTGTTTAACATGATGAATTAATCCAAAAATAAGTAAATTAATTCTAAGATTGATATTTTATCTGCTATGACATTCATTCAGAAAATCAACGCAGATTTTGCTCACATATGGACATATAAACGCAGAATAAGTGGAAAATCTTACTTAAGTCAAGGAATCGTTTCATGAAAATTGGTAGAATCCTTTCCTCATATAATAAATCAACTTCCTAGACCACGTTGTCTTGTTTTATTATATCTAATTTCCATCAATGTTGGGTTGTCTACCTTTTATGAAACAGTGGCTTTGGGATTCATGCCACTTAAGAGGCGCTTTTTCTTTCATTCTTACTCTCTCCTCTCGTTCTTTCGCTCTATCTGTCCCTCCTTTCTTCCTTCGTCGCACTGAAGCATGTAAACTGAGTAATTAAAGGCAGGCAAGGGGAAAAGGCAACATTTGAACGCAAAGATGCAGAGCCAATAAGCGTCGAAAAATATATATTATATTAGTACTTTTTATTTTTATTTTTATTTTTTTACATACCCTCCCCGGGTATCAAAAGTTATTGGTACGTTCCTAATTGTTGTATGTATGTACATATACGTATACATGAACACACACAAACACACGCGCACGCACACACACATATATATTACATGCATATATCTGTGTATGTATGTATACATATGTACCTTTGTGCATGTGCATATATATAAATATATATATATATATATATATATATATATATATATATATGTGTGTGTGTGTGTGTGTGTGTGTGTGTGTGTGTGTGTGTGTGTGTGTGCATATATATAAATATATATATATATATATATATATATATATATATATATATATGTGTGTGTGTGTGTGTGTGTGTGTATGTGTGTGTGTGTGTGTGTGTGTGTGTGTGCGTATGTGTGTGTGTGTGTTCATATATATATATATATATATATATATATATATATATATATATATAAGTACACGGAAACAAATATATGTGTGTATGTATATAGATACGCGTGTGTACGTGAGTATATGCGAGTACGTAATTGGAAATTTTATTACACCTCAAAATTTCTTAAATATCTATTTCCTATATTCTTAAAATATTGGTTGCTGTTCAACTTTTCCTTCACATTTAAATCTTTAAAAAATATATATTTTGCAAGTCAGATATGCATCCAGATAAATAAAGTAACGAATTCATATTATTCATTCTGATTGTGGTGGTGACAGATGGACCAGCGTCATGCCTGACCCCGACCCAGAGGCTGATCCAGCTGGCTTCGGCAGGTTTCACGGCGGAGGTGGTGGTCATGGCTATGGAGTTGGAAGGGTTCATGGCCAAGGCTTTGTTTTTGTTTTTTTGCCCGTTTTCCTCCGATCATCTTGAATGTTATCGCTACTGTCATAACATATATTTGTGTTTGCGTATATATACTTAAATACTATATACATACATATATATACATGTATACAAATATATATATATATATATATATATATATATATGTATATATATATATATATAAACCAACATCTACGCTATATTTCCCCCTTCCCCCTTCCCTCTTCTTCCCCCTTAACCTTCCCCACCTTCCCTCCCTATTCCATTCCCTCCTTCCCTCATCTCCCTTTTCTCTCCTTCTCTCTTTCCCTTCCTATCCGTTTCCCCTCCCTTTCCCCTTACCCATCTCCCTTTCTCCACATCTTTCTTTTCATAAGTCCATTCTTATTCCTCCCTTCCTCTCCCCTTCCTCCCTCGCTTCTTAAAATCGGATTGTCGTGGAAATAATAAATCTGCATAGACTGACGGTCAAACTACTTCAGTGCAGTCTGCTTTACTTGAAGCATCTCATGATATGATAATATTGATGATAATGATCTTTAATACATATATTATATACTGTGAAGATATTCTTATTCATATTTCTTCTACATATAAATGTATCTGTTAATATATATATAACGAAACTATGAATACGTATATACATACATATATATACCTATATATGTAAACATATATCATATATTTATATGTGCGTGTGGGGTGGGGGTATATATATACATCAAATGCAAATATATGCATTATATATACATTATATATATACATATATCAGTGTGTGTGTGTGTATCTGTGCGTGTGTGTATGTGTGTGTGTGTCTGTATGTGTGTATATATATATGTGTGTGTGTGTGTGTGTTTGTGTTTATCTGTGAAAACTACTTTAAGCCTCATCTTGCAAATTACGCATGCATGTATGAACACGATGAATACCATTCATTACTTATGAATACATAGAAAAAAAAAATATTCACAGCGATCCTAGTTTTGATGATGACACCACCTGGCCTGATCAGCTGCCGCGTCGCTACGTAAGTACCTTGGCTTTAACGGAGGTAATAGCCATAGGTTTGGCAGATTGATTGATTGATTATTTAAGATTATCTGCCGCGTCAACAGCTAAGGTTATTAACAGCGAACACCTTGTTAGACTGAAATAGTAAAATATTTAAAATGTTAAAAATCTATCAATAAATGTCATTAATAATAATAGATATTATATTAAAAATGAAAGCATAAACATTATGCTCTATAGGTCTAAAAACTATTGTAAAAACATTTTACATAGTTAAATTTTATTGAAAATATTAGATTCCCTAAGGAAACTAATAAGACCTACATCACAATCCTCCCCCAATACATTTTTCAGTGTATATGGGGGAGACAAGTACCTTCGTCTTTGGTCTGAGAATGTTGCACATCTTTCCACTATATGTGCGACCGTTAATGGCTCTTGGCATTCCACACAGCGTGCTTCACTTTTAGCCATCATCGGCCCATGAGTCAGTCTTGTGTGCCCGATTCTCAGCCTTGTTAATGCAACTTCTACTTGTCGGTTGGGATGTATTGTTTTGGCAGAGTTCGTGACCATGGCTTACATTGGGGTTTTAGCTATGCTTTGGGTATTAGTCGTGGTCACAGCATGTTGAGTAGTATGCTATATCTGCTATCTATCACTGAAGTTAATCCAATATCGAATCAAACATTAACTTGATCAGAAATAAAAAGTTGAATCAATTCTGCAACTCGCTTTCCCCTGGAAATGATGTATAAAACCAGGACGGCTTTCACACTTATTCATTTTACTTTTAAGAATCAATAACAAAGGAATTGTTTGATCATAAGACCAAAATATTATTACTATTTAAGAAAGAAAGCATCTGTGTTTTTCTGTTTCGTTTTCTTTCTTTTCTTCCTCTCCTACTTTTTTTTACTGCAGTGCGAAAAAAAAAACATTTTATTCGTACGCCATAAGCTACACTAGACCTCAGGGTGAGAGAACCCAAAATATGCTGATGTCATTCACTCTTTGATTCCCGCCTTAGTGGGTGTAGCTTATGCTGCTGAGATTTTTAAAAAATGCATAAATACGTTTCAGACGATTTTCATTACTTACGCACAAATAAACGTTAGGATAAAGTGATAGCTTCTTCATCACTTTTTTATCTTATCGTAATGTATTGTCTGAAACCGATTAAATACTACTGTTTAATCTTACGCCTATAGATTAGACATTGTGTGGATATACCTAGGCTATTCCTGGCACTGGTAGGACTCCATTGGGGCAAAACGCATATTTAATGGTCTTTGAAAGGAGACAGTGGTTTTGTTAGATATC